TTTTTTTTTTTTTTTTTGTATTTTTGGTAGAGACGGGATTTCACCATGTTGGCCAGGCTGGTCTTGAACTGCTGACCTCAAATGATCTGCCCATCTCACCCTTTCAAAGTGCTGGGATTACAAGTGTGAGCCAACGCTCCTGGCTCTGATCTCCCTTTACTTTGTATCAGGTACTCTACCAGACAGTGGGGATGAAAGATAAAAAGACTCATAGACTTGTGGAGTAAGGCAGATTGTAAATGCATTGTGGTGTGTGCTGTTTATTAAATAGCAAGGAGTCGAAGCCATAAGACCACATGAAATCATTCAAGAATTTCAAGAGTATCTTTAATTTTTTTCCCAAGGTGTTGAGCTCTTTGAAGGTAGGAATTAGAGGGTCCTATTCATTTTTGTATTCTTCCCCTTTTTTGTTTGTTTTTTGAGACAGGGTGTTGCTCTCACCCAGGCTGGAGTGCAGTGGCATGATCATGGCTCACTGCGCCTTGACCTCCTGGATCAAGCAATCCTTCCACCTCAGCCTCCCAAGTAGCTGGGATTATAGGTGTGAGCCACCTTGTCTGGCCTCTTGCCACTTTTATCACCTCAACCTAGGGTAGTGCTTAGAGTAAGTGCTTTTAAATGAATGAACATTTATATAACTTACTAAAATTTTGAAAATAATTTTAATGGTATGAAGAATGTACTATGTTGGAAAAGGAAGTGAAAGGAGTTTGCTAGAGAAATAATCTATTTTAAAGTACAATATATTTTAGATGAAGACAGGACCTCCAAGTTGAAGCATTCAGTAAACATTTGTACCTGCTAGGCTAGATTTCATAGAACAGATCAAAACAGTAGATAGAAATTTGAAACTTATTCATTATAATTGTTAAAAAAGAATTTTAGCCCAAAGGATGCTTATATCTTAGGAAATGTTCAAATTTTAAAAAACAAGAATAATCAGAAAGGAAAAATAGATCAAAATAGTATTGTGGAGCAAAAAAATAATAATAATAAGTAGAGAAAGTTAATAAAATGTCTACAATATCCCACATTTTTTAGTTTAACCAACTTGTTATAAGCAGCCAATTTTAAAAATACATATATACTTTCACTTTTAATTTTATTTAAACTTGACATGTTTTGGACAATTTTATTTCCCAACATGGAACAGTTTTTATTAAGCAAAAATAAAAGCAATTATTTTCATTTTATCAGGGGTTGATATTGAAGCAGCTCGAAAGGAAGAAGAACGGATCATGCTTAGAGATGCCAGGCAGTGGCTAAATAGTGGTCATATAAATGATGTCCGGCATGCAAAATCTGGAGGTACAGCACTCCACGTTGCAGCTGCTAAAGGCTATACAGAAGTTTTAAAGTAAGTATTGTTTTTTACGGAGTTGTTTTTCTACTTTAGTTTGTCTTCTTTATTCATTGGTCCTTTTCTTAAAATACCTGCAAATGTTATTTTGAAGCAATATAAAAGAGTTCTTTAATGCCTGTTTTCAGGAAGAAAGAGAACAACTACTTTGAATATGATTGCTTTTGTTCTAAAACTCTTTCAACTCTCTGGTTTTGATTATTACTATTTTTTTTATCAGTTGTGATTTTCCAGTAAGTTGAATTTAAGCATCACTCAACTATTATCTGTTACCTTTTGGCCTAGTAAATCACTACAGAGAGTCATTTTGAGGTTCCAGATTGATAACCGGTTCATGAGTCTAAGAACAATGTCCTGTGAACATACCATCAATTTTGAAAGCTTCATTCCTGCAGAATATTTATTTACATGTAATTTATCTTAAATACAATTTCCTTTTTTACTACATGAACACTGGAACTTAGTACTATTAGCACACTATAAAATACTAAGCCATAAGCAACTTTGATTCTATAAGGCTGTATATTGTTTAGCAAATTTGCTTGGAACAAAGCTTCATGTCGCAATAATATTTTTACTTCTGCAGTACAAATGTTGGCAGCTATATGAAGAAAATTATTCAGTGTATTATTCAATATATGAAATTATTCTTATATTTATGTGAAAGGAAGACCAGCTCTTAGCAAAATCTACGGCACCTTTTATTAATATATTGATTCTAATTCACTTGAACTTCTAATATCAGTCTTTCTTATTCCCACTCATTAGTAAAAGCAGTAAAGAATATATGAGTCACCTTTCCCAAGTTGCCTCCTCTTGGGTGACAGGCTCAGGCAGTTTTCCCACCTCAGCCTCTCTCGTAGCTGAGACTACAAGCATGTGCCACTATGCCCACTTAGTTTTCATATTTTTTGTAGAGACAAGGTTCCACCATGTTGCCCAGGCTGGTCTTGAACTCCTGGGCTCAAGTGATCTGCCTGCCTCAGCCTCTCAAAGTGTTGGGATTACAGACGTGAGCCATCACTGCCCAGCCTCCTCTTTTCAATCTCTATTCAACTTCAATAATTTAGGCCTTTTTCCTAAGAATACTATGGCATTGTTGCCTTTTAATTAGTTTTCTTTTCCACCTGTTTCTCTGTAATCGAAAACTTTCGAGAGTTGCCAACGGCATTTTTTTTTTTTTGAGAATAGAAAGTATTAAAGAGGATTACATAAAGGTAAGAATTGTTTCTTAAAGCAATTGTTTCTGTAGACGTATATATGAGTACTGGGTTATATTGCAAAATAGGTGTCTGGACGGCTTGCAAATGATCTTTGTAGTTAGGTTATCCAAGGTCCCTAAATCCTTTATTAGTTCTTAGTGGGGATCAGGATAAATTTTAAACTCCTCAACTTAGCGTGTAGATTCTTCATTATCTGGCCACTGTCTTCCCTTTTAAGCTAAGCTACCACCATTGCCCCAAAGTATGAATTGTGCCAGTTATATATATCTATTGAAGTTCTTTCATGATGTCTTTAATGCCTTCCCTTGTTGGTGAATAAAAGAGATGCTTTTATTCACCATCTCTTCAACTTGGAGGCAAATTCTGCTCAATCCTTTGAATCAGTTAAAGGCCTTTAAGCATATGAAAAAAAATGATCAACTTCATTCATAATTAAGTGCAAATAAAGCTACAGTGAGTTACACTTTTACATCTGTCAGTGGCAAAGATCAAAACATTTGACATCCTGTTGGCAGGGTGTAGGAAAAGGCACTCTTACTAGTAGAAATGACAATTGAGCAAATTCAATCAAAGTAACAGTTGTTCTTTAGTTCCCTGATTCTACTTCTAGGAATTTGTTTTTTACAGATACTGCCACTCACATAGGAAGTAAGAAAATCTGCTAGCAGCATTGTTTATAATAGGAATAAGAGAATGGTTTAATAAATTATGGTATATGCTTTCACTGGCATATTCTGCAGTAAAACAAGAATGAGAAATCTCCTTACATATTGTTATAGAAAGAACACTAGGATATATTATGAAATGTCAAAATCAAGGATCCAAGTATGTATCATTTGTATTTATTGTTAAAAAAAAATTAAAATTGTATTTGCTTATATATGCATGAAATCATTCTGTAAGGATCCAATAAAAATTAATAGTATGGTTATTTTGAGGAAGGGCAAACTAGTTGGCTAAAGGTCAGCAGTGAGAGAGTGATGTCCCTATGTATCCTTTTATTCTTCTTTTTTTAAAACTTTGTGAACATATTACTTATGAAAGTTAATTAAAACAAATACCAAATAAAAATCAGTAGAAAAGATCTGTTTCAAATGGGACCTTCTTCACATTTTCTCTCCCTCCCAAACACACACAACTCCTTTCAATTTGATTTTGATGCTTTTCAGTTTTGTACTCCCATTGCATGTCTATTCACAGAACCTATCCATGACAGTTGGTTGTTGTTTCGCGTCCATTAAAAGCTCCTTGAATATAGAGACTGTCTTTTTTTTCATGTTGAAAAAATTTATCTACCTCTTTTTTCTCGCCACACAGACTTCTAAGTACTTAAAAATGTTGCTTAGCATATTTAACATTATTATAGTTCATATTTCCTAATGAGGAGCAGCATTTTTCTCTTATATTCCAGTATTGTTTCTGCCTCTATTAATAAGGTTTCTGGTAATATATGTCAGTGGAGATATTTCTTTGGACCTAGATCTTTCAGCTTTTCTTTAGATCATGGCTCTTAAATGTTGGTCTGCAGGCAAGTGACAGGCAATGATAAGAGATTCATATGGGGAACTTATTAAGAATATAGATTAGTAGGGCCCATCTCTCCATATGCTGATTAATTGAGTAGCACTGGGGTGAGCTGGGGAATCTATTTTTAAAAAACAAGCCCTTAAGATGGTTCCGTTATGGAAGCAGGATTAGAAACAGCTGTATTAGATATTGTTAGGAAATACCAGATTTGTTCTTAAATAAATGAAAGGGGATTATACATTAGCTGTCACTACCACCTCCTGTAGGTAAAAAGAAAGTCCTTCTCAAGCTCAACATCTTGGAAAGTAAGGTAGATTTCATGAATTGTATTTAGTGTTCGTTCGCCTGTTTGTGTGGGGCTATGCTATGTGCAGTTTATAGACCCATCTTTGCTCTCTGTGAGCTTAATGTCTAAATAAAATAAAGGTTGCTGTCAATATGTAGTTAGAAGGGCATACTAACATAATTTATGCAACTCTTTGCATTGTATTAAAATATGTTTCTGTTTTAGCTTGTTGATGATTGGAGTATCTGCTCTCTACTGCTCAGAAAAATAGATCCAACTCCTTGGAATATGTTTTTTGCTTTGTTTTGTTCTTAAAAGATTGTCATTTTCCTTTGAAAATTTTCAGCTCCTGAATTTCAAGGCAACAGAAACATTACGAAACAAGTTTCTTTGATTCCAGTATATTCTTAGAACACATTTAGCCCGAGATTATACATTATTTGGAAACCTGAAGATGATAGTTCCCACAATAAATCAGTTTTACATACAAAGTGATTAATCAGTTTTTGATTTTACATTGAAAAATTATGGGCTTTTCTGTGAAAATTTAACTTACAAGTCATATTAACAAGAATTAATCAGTGTCACACCAAACCGTAAGACTTAGAGTCATTAGGAATTAATTAAAACTGCATTATTATGGCAATGACTCAAGATCCTCTTTTTCCGAGTTTTTTCTGAGAAATACTTTGTATTTGCCATAGTTAATTCATTGAGGGGGAAGGATGTGAATTCTGAAAAGAAATTAATTGAAAATTGTAGTTAAATTGCATGGTAGAAAGCTTTTGATCATGATCGTTTATTTCTAGATTTTAATGATTGTCTAATTCACTGTAATTTCTTTAGACTTTTAATACAGGCAGGCTATGATGTTAATATTAAAGACTATGATGGCTGGACACCTCTTCATGCTGCAGCTCATTGGGGTAAAGAAGAAGCATGTCGAATTTTAGTGGACAATCTATGTGATATGGAGATGGTCAACAAAGTGGTAGGCCTTTTAAAAGTATTTTAATATTTTAACTTTTAGAAATATAGTTTTATAAACTATATTTAGAAATATAATCTCAAAAGGTTATAAGGATTACCTTATATAATTATATTTTTATCAACTGCATAAAACTTTTTTTAGCCAACTGACTTACTAATTAATGGTTTAAGTCTTTTCAGCTACCATATGAGGTAGTTCTGGCCTTGTGCTGCAAAGAAAGAAGTATTACTCTTTCAGTAGTCAGATTGCCATACATGTAGAGTAGATTTGGATACTTGCATTGATACTATGTTCTTAGGAGTTCAGAAGCTTAGAAAATGTTGCATTCTTATGTGAATGTTTTCTGCCTCCCCTTTGAGTTGGAACACATGTAGAAGTGTGGTTCTAATTCTTTAGCTGATGGTCTTTTAGCTTGCTTATAGAGTTCTCTAAGTGACATGAATAATGAGGTCTTACAGCAGGTAATGACAGTAAACACTATAAAGTTTTATGCTGAAGGGGATCATTGAGATGCAACATCATCTAGTCTTCTAGTTTTGTAGATGAGAAAGTAGTTCTGTTGAGTGAGGTAAATTATATACTTAATACCACAATTAGGTAGAAGGAGGGAGGGAGATAATGTCATACAAGTGTTTTTCACGAAATCATGAAAAGATTCAGGTTATCAAGTTTCTTGTTAAACTAGACTTCTCTACTCCTTTGTAGATACTATCAGTCAATAACCAGTCACCAGTATTCCTGGTAGTCGCTTCCCACTCTGTGTTGGTAGATAATAAGTATCATGGAGAACGCAAAACATGTCTCCTCTAGTGAGTTTAATTACCTTTCCATAGAATGTTCCTTGTATATTGCATTTCATAGGAAAATATCATAGGTTATGTAGCAGAGAGTCATAAAATGATCTCATCTTTATTCAAAATAGGACCATCTAATTCTTTTGCTGTTTTTGGAGTAGAGTTCTAAATAACTTACTTTCATTAACTGATTTAAATATATATTTTATATAAGAAATGTGCAGGCATGAAAATCATAGGAATTGGTAGAAGTCTTAAGGAAAGTAAAAAAATTTGGGAGAATGATTGGTTTATACTTATATACAAATACAAAAATCTTTGGGTTGAATTTTTAGTTAAAACTTTCAATAATTTACTTTCTCTGTTGTTTTGTAATCAACATTAGAAGACAAATAAATATTGATACTATTTAAGTAAAAGGCCAGCTAATTTTAGCTTTGCAAGTCATGTTACCTCTCTTTTCATGTAGAAATTCCCCTTCAGAATTTTTTTCTGAAAAGATTAGCAGATACCTGTTAGCCTCTGAACTCTGGTCTGCATTCTTCTCTCCCAAACAGTGACTTTTTACCACATGTCCATTCATATGGGCAGTGCTGATAATTGGTTCATTTAGTAACAGTAGCCTCCGGATAAGAACTAGATGAGAGAAGCTTATTAATTGAAATGGTTTCCAAAAAGGATCATTTCACTTACAAGTTTAAACATGGTGTGTTTCCCCTACTGAATCAGTATTCTAGTGAAACATAGACAATATAGAGTATGTATGAGAAAAATTATTTTATTTACATCTGGCCAACAATTATCTAATTCCTGTGCCATACAGATCATAATTTTGCTATCAGAGAAGGAGTGCATATAAAATTATTGTGCCTTGTATCCTTTTTAAAAAAATTAATAGCAGCTCCTCTGTCACTCTAAATTTTATTTACTCTCTTATCTGTCATTCGATATTTCAGTAGATCTTTATGTGATCTTAAAAGAATTGTGAGCCAGGCCTTGTGGTGTGCGCCTGTAATCCCAGCTATGTGGGAGGCTGAGGTAGAAGGATCGCTTGAGTACAGAAGTTCAGGGCTGCAGTGAGTCCATAATTGTGCCACTGCACAGCAGTGGGCAACAGAAGGAGACCCTGCTAAAAACAAACAAACAAAAAAAAAACACAATTGTGCCTCATATTTACATAAAATTTAAAGATTTTCAGCCTTTTTTACACATATGCAATTCTTTTAACAACCCTGTGAAATTAAGGGTTTTTTGGATTCAGGAACATGATCAGAGAAGTCAAGTAATTTTCCTAAAGCCCTGATAATTGTTTTTTCTTTTTATTCGGCTAAGCTCCTCTGTAACTTCTTTTCGTTTTAGTTTCCTCATCTTTTATTTTTCAAGATACTATTAAGCTGTAAAAATATAAATTTTAATAAAAATGTTATTTTTCTTTTAAAAGTCAAGACTTTAAAGACTGCTTTTTATAATGAGGAGCTACATAATGTCTATGGCATTCTAAAGGAGTTTGTGCCATAAATATATCCAAACACAAGCCTTTTTTTTTTCATTTGAGAAGTTCTATTTTACGACTTTGATTTTTAAAAGTTTAATCATAACTTTGCATGTGTGAATTAGACTGTTTTTATTGTCTACATTTTAAAATGTCATACATCATGTTCAATCAAAATAAATTACTTTGTCTTAATTATGTAAGCCTGCCTATATGAATTTATGTTGTCATTTGATACCTTCCTTAGTACTTACAGATTGAAGGTTATTACTAAATTGTTTTAAAAAATGATATTAAAGATGTGCACCTAAGGTACTACCAGAGTTTAGATGAATTCTTCAGTAATAGAAAACACTATTTGGGAAAATGATGTATAATATAGTAAGTGTAGCAAATCATATAGAAAATCTGAAACCCTTCCTAAAAATATTTAGAGATTTCAGTCTCATTTCTTTAAATTATTTGCAAACTGTAATACATATTTACTGTCATTTTAATTCATTATTATAGATTATGTGATACAGACCTTAAATATAAAGGTTATTTGCTTTCTTAGTTTGTTAAAATAATTGCTTTACTAGAATGTATCTAAATATTGTTCTTTATTGACTAGAATGCTTTTCTGGTTGGAATTCTCTTACTGAATACAATGGCTAGCAAACAAGTTTTTAGATTAATATAACTGTCATTATAAAGATTTAAATGAATGACAAAGCTATTTCTGCTATTAATGGACACAAGGATGTTTTTACCCTAATTCCATCTGCATTTATTTTTATTTTTGATAAAGGCAAAATGACACACTAGAGTAGTAGAGACCTAAATTGTATTCCCACTTTCTCTTAATGATCTGTATGACCTTGGGCAAATACCATGCACTCAGACTGAGTTTCTTCATCTGTACAGTGAGAATCATTCTAATACTTGTCCCAGCTACATTATTCGTTGTTGTGAAGATGAAGAGGTTGTACCTAAAAAAACAATTTGGTTAGAATAAGTGAGTAAAGAAAAATGAAGGAACTGTGAAGTTAGACTTAAAATGTCTCCAATGTGTTTGTGACTCTTAATAGATGTATTGGACTCATTTTTTTTTAAGCAGTTATTTTTAAGATAGTTCTCTTGATAGAGTTCTTACGTTCTCATAGCTCAGCATTGTGTCCTCATTTGTTGCCTGGTTGCTTTGAGTGGCACTGCTTATATACTATAATGTGTTTATACTCTATCAGTGAAGCACAGTAGCCTTATAGTAGTTAAGAACCAAATAATGTTTATAACTTCACGACTGTTAGCTTTGTAACTGCTACAGATTGTTTAAAGAGCATGTTTAAGTTGCTGAGTTAAGTTGATGAGGGTGCTTTTTTTGAAAGTAGAAATTCTTATAGCCCACGTTTTACTCTAGTTTTCATTCTGTATCAGCTGCTGTTTGCAAAGTAGACTCATTTATCAAGGGAGAAAGTGAAAATAAAGGTTAGTAGCGTGATCCAATTTCTTACTCTTAAAGAGGAGAGTTCCTTGGTTATTAAAGTGACCCCATTGCATTTAACTGCTACAAAAATTTAATTACAGTTCAGACATTTCAAGGTGGGATAGTTCATTCATGAGAAGGGTTGGTAATGCTTAATATGATATTTAAAAATAAATCAGTGAATTATTTCCACATAACATAATCTTAAACACAGTTTACATTAAATATATAGCATTATTAATATTTTAGAACTGATTATATAAAGCATATGATATAGCAAAACTAGAATTAACATGTATTTCTAATTTAAAGGGCACCTTAAGTTTTGAGCCAGTTATTTGATTTCAGAACTATTTATTCTTCAGGAATTTAAATCTTGGCTTCTATTTCCCAAGATTGAAATGGGAGGAAAGTTTATTAAAACTAAAACTTTTTATCTTGGACTGAGTGGGAAAGGATAGATTGTCTCTTAAATTCCTACTGGAAAGACTTTCTAGCAAGAAAAGGCAAGTATGATAAGTATTTTTGAATCTTGTAAATTTATATACATACTCACCTATTTTGAAAAAGCAGTATTTTATATACTTTTAAGATATACTTCATAGGGCTGAGCACAGTGGCTCTTACCTATAATCCCAGCACTTTGGGAAGTGGAGGTCGGCCTGAGCCCTCGAGTTCAAAACCAGCCTGGGCAACATGGTGAAACTACATCTCTACAAAAAAATACAAAAACTAGTCAGGCATGGAGGTGTGCATCTGTGGTCCCAGCTACTCAGGAGGCTGAAGTGGGAGGATCACCTGAGCTCCAGGAGACTGAGGCTGCAGTGAGCCACGGTCATGCCAGTGTCCTCCAATCTTGGCAACAGAGCGAGATCCTATCTCAAAAAAAAAGATACCTTTCATAGACAATAGCTTTTTATTTTATTAACAGACAATGGGAAAACTAGCTCAGATATTGGCTAACTTATAGTTTGTTTTATAGTGTTTGGAAATTAGCTCCTTTCTGGATAGATGTTAACTTCCTGATGTTGGTACAGAAACAAGGGTTGTTGTTGGTTTCTAAACGGAAAAATTAATGTGATTTTAGAAGCCATTATTTCTTATCCATTCTTATGTCGTTGTGGATATAGGAATACTGTTAAGAAATTTGAACTTTCTTTCAGAATTAGATTTTTTGTTGCTAAAAACATTTTTTTTCTGTGAAAGGATCATGTACTGGATAACATAAAGAAGACTGTATTCTAAATAATGAACTTGTAAGTGTCCTGGAAACTTGTCCAGTAGGGCTATTATAAGGACTAATGCAGGCAGCAGGAAATATTCTTACTATGTTTAGTCAGCAGCTCTTTGAAATTTTCTCTTTCACAGTGAATTAAAATAGATTGACATATGTTCATCTGGACTAATTTTTAAAATTAAGCCATACCTGTGGCTGGCTGAATGTTAAACAGGTTAAATATATGTATTTTTTAATTTTATTACTCTACCAAGAATTTAAGTTGTAGGATGTCATCAAAAAGAAAAAGGCCTCAAAAGGTTAAATTACCCAGTAATTTCACCCTTAACTGGATGTTGAAGAAAATGAAAACAAATGTCCACACAAAAAGTTGTACATGAATGCTCATAGCAGCATTATTCATCATAGGCAAAAAAAAAAAAAAAACCAGATGTCCACCTGATGACTAGATTAGCAGACCGTATATGTCATGCAATGGAATATTATTCATCAAAAGAAATGAAGTGACACATGCTATAACATGGATGAACCTTGAAAACATGTAGAGTGAAAGAAGCCAGTCACAAAGAACCATATATTGTATGATTCCACTTACATGAAATGTCTAGCATAGGCAGATCTATAGAGAGAGAAAGTAGATTAGTGGTTGCCTTGGGCTGGATGCAGACAGTGATTACTAAAGGGTATGTTCCTACTTCTTAGGGTGATAAAAATGTTTGAAATTGATTATTTTGATAGTTGTACAACTCTGAATATCCATAAAACCATTGAATCGTACACTTTAAATGAGTGATTTGTTTGGTATATGAATTATATCTCGATAAAGCTGTTACCAAAAAAATAAGGGGAGATATTCACAGCTTCTGTCTCACATAAATTTCATGTACATTGCCTTAGAGTTGTATGTTTTTACAGTAGTTGTTGTATCATTTATAACCACTGTAAAAAATGTTATCCAACTTCTTTATATAAAATTATACAGAATTACTGAAGACATTTTATGATTTATTGACTTTTGACCATCACTGCCCACCCCTTGTTTCCTACCTAGGGCCAGACAGCCTTTGATGTAGCAGATGAAGACATTTTAGGATATTTAGAAGAGTTGCAAAAGAAACAAAATCTGGTATGTTTGATGACTGTCTAATAATTGTCTGTATTACATAATTATCTTAGTAACTTTGAATTTGAGACAATTACAAAAGTTTTCTTGTGATGTTTTGTACTTTTTGGTTTTAAGATATCCTTAAATTTCACTAAATGTTAGTGAAAGAGAATAAAGGGTAGTGATATTTAACTTTTTATGTTGCTTATCCCCATTTCTATTTCCTCCCCTTCTCAAAAGGAATACTTATATATGTCCTCAAGAATAACATGTTTTTACAATTTCATTAGAGGGTTTTACTTAAAAGATGGAGTCTATAATATCTCATATATCCAATAGCAGGTCCAATAGCAAGGAGTTATGTCACCTGAAACAGTTTTGTTTTTTTTTTTTTTGGAGATGGAGTCTCACTCTGTCCCAGGCTAGAGTACAGTGGCGTGATCTCAACTCACTAGAATGTCTGCCTCCCGGGTTCAAGCAATTCTGCCTCAGCTTCCTGAGTAGCTCAGACTACATAGTACGCCAGCATGCCCGGCTAATTTTTTGTATTTTAATAGAGATGGGGCTTCACCGTGTTGCCCAGGCTGGTCTTGAACTCCTGAGCTCAGGCAATCCACCCACCTTGGCCTCCCAAAGTGCTAGGATTACAGGCGTGAGCCACTGCGTCCAGCCAGAAACAGGGTTTTGAGTAAAATATCCTCAGCCAGCCTGAGTGGTTAGTGGATCTGAACTTTTTCAGTAAAGTTGGAGGGATTTAAAAAATCCACCTTAGCCCTGTATGGAACTTTTTAATTGTCTAGTCTATTTCATTTTTTATTCAAGCTCTTTCCTTTTCAGGTAAAACTTAGTTTATTTATTTCTTTGTTTTGTCTTATTTAATGTCTGAAAAACTACTTTGTTATTATTTTAAACTCTGCATCTTAGTAATATTATTTTAATAGTTATTTTCCTTTGCATAACTTTGTACAAAGCTCCATAGTGAAAAACGGGACAAGAAATCTCCGTTAATTGAATCAACAGCAAATATGGACAATAATCAGTCACAGAAGACCTTTAAAAAGTGAGTAAAATGTTCAAGTACGTTTGTTACTTTTGTGAATGAGATGGCATAATGGCCACAGGCATGTTTATTGTGGATCTGGGAAGAATGAATGTATTTTAACCTTTTTTGTTTCTAATCATTTGAACACTGTTTTCCTTTAACAGCAAAGAGACATTGATTATTGAACCAGAGAAAAATGCATCCCGTATTGAATCTCTGGAACAAGAAAAGGTTGATGAAGAAGAAGAAGGAAAGAAAGATGAGTCTAGCTGCTCTAGTGAAGAAGATGAGGAAGATGACTCGGAATCAGAAGCTGAAACAGGTAAAATTAAAAGATAAATGCATTTTCATTGAATTTTATGGCAGTGTAAAATAAGACAAGATCAGACTTAATTTTTAAATTTTTCAGACTGATTTGCTACTTGTTTAGATACCTGGCAAGCTACTAAATTATCTTTCAGTGAATGCTAGGAACCTACATATAGTTGTGAATTTATTATTCTTTAATTATCTGGAGGCTGTTGTTCACCTCTGTGTTTTGCCGACCTATATTTAAAGAAGTTGGAGAGGCTTCTAAGAGTCCCTTAGGCACAGATAGGTTGTGAATGTGGGTTCTCAGCAATTCAAAAATGCTCCTGTTACATCTGAGGTCCAAACGTCCAGGATGCCGGTCCCAACAGCATCCCAAATTTTCCCTAAGAAATAGTAAAGTAGGAATGGAGTAAAAACTCTTTGCTGTGAGGATGTGGGGGAATTTGCTTTGTTTTGAGAAATTTTAAAGATACAGAAAAGTATAATATAATAAACGTTCATATTCCAACAACCTAGACTTAAGACTTTAACTACTGTGACATTTAATCATATTTACTTCAATTTTTTAAATAAAGTTAAAACATTATAGATGTCTTTTTTAGTCACCCACCGTAGTCTGCTTCCCTTTCCTTCCTTCCCAAAGGCAATCACTATCATGAGTTTTGTTCTGTAATCTTCTAGTTCATTTTTATACTCTTACATATGTGCATTCATATGTAATATATAACAATTGTAATATTGTTTTGTGTTTTTTTCATATGGTAGGAATTGTTATACTTCTTGGGTTTTTTCACCAAAAGTTACATTTTTTATATTTGTTCATAAATCTATTTCTATAGCTTTATCTGCATTTTTTTTTTTAGCTATTGTATAGTATTCTATTAAATATATCTGTTTCCATTATGATGAACATTTACCTTATTCTCAAACTCCTGGGTTCAAGTGATCCTCCTTCCTCAGCTTCTCCAGTAGCTGGGACCACAGGCACATGTTACCACACACACCTAATTTTATTTTTATTTTTTGTAGGGTTAACTATTTTGCTGAGGCTAGTCTTGAACTCCTGTCCTCAAGCAGTTCTCCCACCTTAGCCTCCCAAAGTGCTGGGATTACAGGCATAAGCCACGGCGCTCAACCTATAGCCTAAAGTTATTTTTATGCAGTTAATCTCCTCCCTGGGAGACATTACTTAGCTCTCAGTCTGTAGTCAAGTATATCATTACAAATTAAACTATGTACACAAGAGAGCCAAGACTTGCACCCAGACCTCCTAACTTATATTTTAAGCCTTTTACTACTGATGTAGTGTAATTCAAAAAATAGAAGTCCAGGCATCTCTTTCAAAGATTTCTAGGTTTTTGTTCACTAAATTTTTTCTTCATTAGCCCTTGTTTGTATACAAGTCACTGTTCAATATTAGACACTAAGGGACTATTTAAAACAAGAGAGCTTAGGCCAGTTTTACCAGTAACCAGCAAATCTTCTGCTATCTTTTGGTTGAATATCCTTGTTTATAAAATGAGAAGAATCGGGCTATAAGACCTGGATGGTTCTTAAAACTCTAGTATTCTATTAAATATAACTAATTACTATCAAATTGCATTGTATTTGTTCTCGGTTTAGAATTGAAATGTACTAGTTGCTCTCTACTCAGTTTCTCACTGAGCTAACTTTAAATGTTCCTCTGAAGCATTGTACTATGATAATTTTGTTCTTCCTGTTGCTAGTGGTCAGTGGTGCCAGGAAAATTTGACTCTGTCTCAAGAATTAATCCACGTAAACGCTGTGTGGTTCCTTTCCTCTCGCTCTTTTAATATCAACTAGGCTTTATCATGCTTTATTTGGAAAGCTTGAGAAAGCAGCCATTTCCCTGTAGAGCTACAGCTTAATTTGACAATTTGTAAACCATTTCTTTTTTCTACTTTTTGTAAGGTTATTTCCTTGGGAAACTATTTGACATAAACTAACTATTTTGCTGAATTTTGTAAAATAAATTATTTACCCAAACAGTTTTTCTTCAGTGTTCTTTCTCTTCTCATAAAGCAGATAAAAATGAGAGTGCAACCTAAGTTTTAGTTCAAACAATTTACAAATGTGAAAGGTAGTTGAGAAAGTGAGAAAGAGAAGTACATTTTTTGCTTTTAGGGTTCTTTCTTCTAGGACTTTGTCATTCTTTGTTGAAATCAAATGGATAGAAAGACTACAACGATATTAATAGCGTTTACAAAATAAGTTGGATGGTGGGGCTGGGTGCTGTAGCTCATGCTAGTAATCTCAGCAGTTTGGGAGTCCAGGTCTGGAGGATTGCTTAAGCTCACGAGTTCAAGACCAGCCTGGGCAACATGGGGAAGCCCTGTCTCTACAAAAAATACAAAAATTAGTAGGTGTGGTAGCGCATACCTGTAGTCCCAGCTACTCAAGAGTCTGTGGTGGGAAGATCGTTTGAGCCTGGGTAACAGGCTTCAGTGACCCGAGATCACACCACTGCACCCCAACCTGGGCAATAGAGCAAGACCCTGTCTCAAAGTAAATAAATAACTTGGATGGTGGTACATGGGTTTTATCTTATTTATTATTTATATCTCCTACTAGACTGTAAGTGAAGGTATTTTGTCTTTTCATTGGCTGATATATCCCTAGTACCTAGGACACTACTTGAAGAATGGGGACACTTATTATTTGTTGATTGATTCTCTACACAGTTAGGTGGATTATTTTCCAAGATGATACTGTGCCCATTTAACTTTAGACTTTTTAGGAGTGGGAAGACATGCTCTTTGGGACATTTAACCATAGTGTTTGACAGGAATGTAAGGTAATTATTGACAAAAGCACTTTTAGATTTCCTTGATTAAAGAGGAACCATCAGTTTTAGATCAGTAATAGTAGTTGTTTATCCATTAGAAAATTGCATAGTTATTGTTCAGTTTTTAATTGCATTCATGCATTCAAATTTTTAAATCTTAATTAAATTTGTTTTTATTTTCTTCATTTTAAAAGCATAGAAGTCAGATTCTATTTGTGCTTTTTATTGTCAGAAGCTTTGTTGTATATCTTTCATATTATCTTAACTATTTATTTCAGCATATATATTGAGGCAATGCTAGAAGCTCCCTGAAAAACTGACTTGCAAAAAGGAATCACAGTGGGGAAAGACTTTTAGTTAACAAAACCTTAAACAAAAATGGAATATAAAATGATTTTTTCAAACCATTGAGACCAAATTTCTATGGAATCTTGACTCTTAATTGTTTGTCTTTAATAGATAAGACAAAACCTCTGGCTTCTGTAACTAATGCCAACACTTCTACTACACAAGCAGCTCCTGTAGCTGTTACAACACCTACTGTGTCATCAGGTCAAGCAACACCTACATCACCTATTAAAAAGGTAAGCCAAAATTGTATTTGCTGAAAATACATGTATTCTATTTATGTACCACTTGGACCAGCTCATTAAAGTAATTCTGAATTTTTATAGTTTCTTCCAAAAATATGTAAGATTTCAGAATGTAAATATGTATTTATGTTTCTAAGTTGAATGAGATTTCTTCTGAATGATTTTTTTTATCATTTTTGCAATTGATATTACTGTTGATATTATAGTTGGTAGTTAACAAATATTACATACAGTTGATAGTTAATAAATGGCAGAAAGTTAAAAATTTTTGTAATATTAAAATCAATGATTGTATTAGTTTTTTTTTTTTTTTCTATTGAACTTTTATTTGGAGAAGCTCAGGTTTTATATCCTTTATCTCTGTTAAGTAGAGGTGTGCATGTTGATAATTTCACACATGGGTAAGTAAGTTACAAAAACTATTACCACAAGTCAATGAGAGAACGAGAATCTAAATTTTTTAAACTCATAGTACAAAGCACTAGGCAGGCAACTGGTATGCCAGTGGGAGCATGATCCCTGAGGTCGGATAAACCAGAGATGAGCTCCTGACTCTACATTATTAGTTGTTATGACCTTGAGCAAGTTACTTACTATCTTCCTTTTGTATAACAAAACAAAATGAAGAGAAATACAGTTAATATTGTAAGGATTGGTTGAGACAGCCTGGCCAGTAAACTCAGTGTGTTTTCAAAATGTTAGTTTCATTTATTTCTCTTCTCTCTTTCTGTTCTCTGTCTGTTCTCCATCTCTCTTGTCTCTTCTCTCCACCGAAGCAGTGTTTTCCAGTTAGTGTGTTGATCTTTTTAAGACTTTACCTTTTCCTGCTTCTCTGGAACCTATCCTTCTTTTAACCCAAATTAACGATTCAGAGTTTTTGTTTATGTTTGACCTACTAGTCTCTCTTCAAAGATTTCTCTTCACCAGTCCTTTTTTATCTTTAATGAGCATACTCATTTCCCTCTTTATCCACACACACCTTTTTTTTAACCAAACCCTTGAAAAATTGATTGCAGTCATCATAACACTTCATGCCTAAATATGTCAGTATGTATCTCCTAAATACAAGACTAATATTCTTCATTCTCAAAATAATCACACTTAGGAAATTTAACTTTGGTATAATATTATTTATGTTGTTAATAACTAATATACATACCCAGATTTTCCCAATTGTCCTTTGAGTCTTTCTGTTTGTTTTTTAAAATCAGGGGTCCACTTGGATTGTACATTGTGTTTAGTTGCCTTTGAACTTCTTATTTTGTTGCTCGTTTGACATTATTTGCATGAGTTTAAGGACTGATTGTTTTTTAAATCCTCACAGCATTTCTGTTGTGTTGTCAGTATTGGGATTTGGCTTTAGGTGGTCAAGGTCTTTTTGAAATCATAAACTACAGAATAAAAAAAAAAAATCCCTACTGTTAGTAATAATCCTTCTCTAAAATTCTTCCCAAGGAGGGCAATAATGTAAATAATGAGTGGTAGAAATGTGTTGGTTTCATTGATATGTAGTTTGAATATCGAGAAACTGAATGAGTTATCTTACCTTATATATTCCAAAACTGAGTGCTTCTTGAATTCAGTTAGAACTCATGTTCATATGATCATAATTATGTATGCTTTAATAAGAAATTATCTGAAAGCAGTTTGCAAAATTTTGAAGACTGTTAATCATGCTGTAACTAGCGTCACTATAAACTGCTTTAATTAAAGTTTATTTTACTTCTAGAGCCCCCATATTCTTCTTCAGTGAATACTAAATTCATGCCTGCATCTTTTCATCTGTTTCGACTATAAGGTTATCAAAAGTTCCCAGAAGTTCCATCTCCCTGGAATGCCTAGGCAAGAAACTAGCTATCTTTCTTTTTTTTTTTTTGAGACGGAGTCTTGCTCTGTCACCCAGGCTGGAGTGCAGTGGCACAATCTTGGCTCATTGCAACATCTGCCTCCCGGGTTCAAGTGATTCTCCTGCCTCAGCCTACTGAGTAGCAGGGATTACAGGTGCCTCCACCATGCCTAGCTAGTTAAATTTTTAGTAGAGATGGGTTTTAACCATGTTGGCCAGGCTAGTCTCGAACTCCTGACCTTGTGATCTGCCCACCTCAGCCTCCCAAAGTGCTGGGATTATAGGCATGAGCCACTGCACCCAGCACTGGCTCTCTATCTTTTGGGTATTTGGCTAAGTTATCCCTTTCCTACTACATTCAAATGATTACAGTAAACTTCCTGTGTTCAATTTTCTTGTTCTCACATATAGCCAACATTTATGGCAATTTAGTTCTCAGTTTATACCTAATGCCCTAACTGAAAAGAAATACTTTATAACCTCTGTTAGTATAGTGGGCCAGTAATCTCTTTGCTGTAAAAGTTCTTATTCAAAATCACTCTTGGTTCTGTAATTAATGTAATAACATCTGCTTCTAAATTTGCATATTTAGGAACTATTTTATTCTCAGTTTCAAACACAATAACTTACTTTGAAGATTATATTGCTTCTTTGTTCTTAAAGTTTTGTGACCAAATTTTATTCAAAACAATCATGTGCAAAAATTTTGATTTTTTTTTTTTTTTTTTTTTTTTTTTTTGTTTTTTTTTTTTTTTTGGAGCCAGAATTTTGCTCTTGTCATCCAGGCTGGAGTGCAATCTTGGTTCACTGCAACCTGCACCTCCCAGATTCAAGCAATTCTTCTGCCTCAGCCTCCCGACTAGCTGAATTACAGACACTTGGCACCACACCCAGCCAAGTTTTGTATTTTTAATAAGAGACGGGGTTTCATCATGTTGGCCAGGTTGGTCTCAAACTCCTGACCTCAAGTGATCCACCCGCCTTGGCCTCCCAAAGTGGTAGGATTACAGGTATGAGCCACCACGCCTGGCCTGAAATATTTTTTTTGATGAAGAGGGAGTCTTCTTATCAATATTGTATGACTTTTAAAACCTGTTATATTCAGTGATTCTTATACTCCTGTATCTACTTTAATTTAGCATATTAGTGGTTTTTAAAATTTTTTCAAGTTTATCTGTAACTCTAGTGACCTAACATACAAATTTCCTTAAACAGATTGTTAATTTCTAATTGCATCTTAAAAGGTTTTGCAGTTATCTGTTTTTAGGTTCCCAGTCATGACTCCACTTCTGATATTTAGACAAAGTTATATTAAGTTCTCCAGCTTCCTTCCCTGGTACATAAACTATGTGCGTGTGCACGTGTTCACAGCAAGATAGATCACAAAAATGGAAGCACACAAAACAGTTTTACATTTCACTTATTTTAATAACTTGGGGTAGCTATGGTGAAAGATAGAGGTGTTTACTTTAAATGATCTTTCCTTAATTCCTTAACCCTTCAGCTGAAATTAAAGAACTGTTTCTGTAGCAATATCAAGCTGATGATTTGTGGAGATATTATCTATAAAACCATCAGTTTGATTTTGTGCTTAAAATTGTTAACTAACAATAAGTCTGTATAAGCCTTTCTAGTCAAAATAAATATTGTTGGGATCTCTAAAGCAGATTATCTATTCTTCTATATGGGTGTACGTTCCAATAAAATGTAAATGGCGTTTTCTTTACTTGATGTTAAAAATTCAGAATTTTTATGGAATTAAGTGTTCTAGTTAATTGAATTCAATGTAATAGCTAATAATTTAACAAAAGACTGCCATGTGCTGTGGGTACATAAAGTATTCCAATCAAAATGTACAGATGTAGCATGATTTAAAAGGAGAAGAAATTATATTTGACTTAAGATAATAGAATCAGGACATTTTAGATAAATCTTAAAGTAGGTAGTACTCCACCTGAGAGAAGAAGGGCTTGCATAACTTGTTGAAAGGGAGGGAAGAAAAACAATATGAACAAGTGGGGATAATGTGGAATAATTTGGCAGGAAAAATGAATTGTTCCATTTGATTAATTTATAGGGTGCATATATACAAAGTAAACAGGAAAAGTAGAGCCATGTTACAGGATGTCTTCTCTTCTAGGATAACACTTTTATAATTTATTTGATAAGTAGTAGAGAGTCATGGAAGATGTTTGAACAATGCCTTGAGAGAATTATTCTTTATAGAATATTATTCTGACAGCAGTGTACAGATTTGAAGATGAGAGACTGATTGAGAAAAGGTTTATTAGAAGGTCATTGAAGTTGCCCACAATGATAAGAATATGAACTAGGGAAGTGGCTCTGGGCTTATAAAGGAGAGGAGATTTAGAGACTTGACCTCTAATTTATGGATGGAGGAAAATGACAGAGAAGGTCTAACATAATTGTGAAGTTTGAAACATAGGAGGTCGAAGAGCTAACCTTAGTGCCATTAACAGAATTAGGGAACTGAAGAAGAGATGGTTTGGAAGTAAAGGTGTTTTATTTTAGTCATATTGAGTTTCAAGTTTTCAGTTACAGTTCTAGATCATCCACTCTACAGGTAAAATTATGACTGGAAATTTAGGAGACTGGACTGGAGAATAATACATTTGAGAATAAGCTGACTACAATTAATTTTTAGCCTGAGGAAGTAAAGACCCTCCTCCAGTCCCCCAGGAGAAGAAAGTAGAAACAGAATATGAGAGATCCAAGAGCAGACTCTGGAAGGGCTAGCACAAGGAAAGTTGTACACACACACACACACAGCCTGTATAAGGAGTGTTGTATACACACACACACACACACAGTCAGTCAGTCAAGAAAAGAATGGTCAGAGTCAAAAGAAAAAGAAGGTCAAGAGAGCATCCAGTTAAAAAAGCTAAAGAAGAGAGTTTCATGGAGGAGGAGGTATAGTTAAGTATTTCAGGAAGGGTTTATTTATATACCAAGTAAAATCAAAAGGTGCCTTTAGACATATAAAGCGGTACTTAAATCCAAATTCATGTTGGGCAGAGTGGAGGTATATCAATGATTACTGTGTAACAAATGCTGATTTCAAAATTGATAGATAGTACTGCCTCATTTTTCTCAACTCTAGAATAACAGTAATGGTAGTATTTCATTGGGTAATTATAAGGTTGAAACAGGATAACCCAAGTGAAACACTTAGCTGAGGGTCACACACTGGTAAATATTTGTTAAATGTTAGCTTCAGTTATAACAATAAATGTTATCTGATCTCTGGCTGTTTTATCATGGGGGGAAAAGGTTTGTTTCCAGGTTTTTTGTTTGTTTGTTTTTGTTTCTGTTTTTTGAGGAGGTGGGAGACCTAATGTGGGTGTTGGCAAACTGGCCGGTGGGCCAAACCTAGCCCACTACCTGTTTTTGTATAGCAAACTGGTTGGAGAAAAATATCAGAAAAAATTCACTGTCCCTAAAGTTTTATTGGGTACAGCCACACTCATTCCTTTGTGTATTAATATTATCTGTGATCCACAAAGCTTGGCATTTACAGTCTAGCCCTATAAACTCACCAGTCAATAAGTAGCTGTCTCAGTACCTATCATATTGCACAGAATATTAGAGTTCACAAACTTTCTTGGTCATTGGAGCCCCTAGTGTTTGGTAGGCTTTTTTCGCAGTGCCACTGGCAAAAGGAATTACCTGTTTTGTCTCATTAGGTAGTTTGATGCAAATATGATCAAAATGGCAGGTTGTGCAGTGTCTATGAGATGTCACTGCTTCTCTCAAAACTTTAAAATATTCTACAGAGCCCCCGTGACTTTGTTGTGACACCCTGGAGCACTTCGGTGCACATTTTAGGAACTGAGGAATGCTTAGGCCCTGTTGATAGCAGTTCATTACTGGAAGTACCAGAGGTATATCTTTATAACAGTTTTGTCCATGAAGTGGCCCTCAAGCATCATCATGGGAGCTTTAACAAGCTCTATTAAGCTGCTAATTATAGCAAATGTTGGCAATAGATATGAAAGAAAGGATTTTTTAAAAACTATTAATACCCTATGCTTGTGGCAACTAGTTAGTTGCTGTATTCACCAATCTGTATAGTTAACTGTGGTTGAGCACAGAAATTCTAGAAGTGAAGTTGATAAAGTGATCTAAAGATAACAGAGGTTGCATTTTTAGGGTTGTTGGAAAGCCCTAAAAATAACATAAATATTTGTACATAAAATTAGTTTTTACTATAGTTGAAATATTTAATGTTTGGTGGGGAAATCAGTAAATTTAAGGCTGTGATGTTAAACAGAGTATTATAATTAGAAAATATCAGTTACTAGTTTTTGTTGATTGTGTTGGACATAAAATTTTTTAACCAGAGTGTATACATGGATTAAAAACAAAATTCATGTGCAGTAGTTTGTTCACTCACATGCTATATTATCTATTCTATATGTCTTTAATTGCTTTAGAAGTTTATTAGATTTTTTCAGATTATCTCATGCTAAAGCTAGAACTTGTTCCCAGTAACTTTTAAAGATTGGATCATTACCCAATTATTGGGGTTTAATTTATTATAAAACTATTTTAAAATGAAGAAAATACTTTTTGCTCGTAACTTCCCTTTTCTGTTTTCATGCTTTCAATCTTTATCTCTTTACCTGTCTTATTTTAATTGGCTTTAGTATGATTTCATTGCTCCTATCATGCCTGTGGTGGAATCAGTAGATCCTGCATCATGGAGGCAGGGCTTGCGCAAAACTGGCATTGTTCTTGTGCCCAATAAGGGTGAAAAATCTATGGTGAGGCATTTCTATGTGCAAGAATTTATATTAGGTTACAACATAACAAGTTTAATATAAATTGGTTCCAAAGATGCATGGTTTTAAGTCCTTACGGTGTGCTCATTTCTGTTTTCTGTATTTGCATCATAATTTTTCTGTGTGATATAAAGTGTGTAGTGTGTTTTCTTAAGTCTAACCCCTGGAAAGGTAGTCTATTTCTTTAAAATTTTTAGATATTTACATTTTTTACTAAGACATTAACCTATTTAGTGAAAGTGTTTTATCCTGAAACTGTAAACCATAATTTTAAATATATTATCTGTAAACTTATTGTTTCCAATTTAAGGACTGATCAGCTTTAAAAATTCTTTTTTCTTTTCCTTAAAAAATAAAATAAACACAGTTTCCAACCACAGCTACAAAAATTTCTCCCAAAGAAGAAGAGAGAAAAGATGAGTCTCCTGCAACTTGGAGGTTAGGACTTAGAAAGACGGGCAGCTATGGTGCACTTGCTGAAATCACAGCATCTAAAGAGGGTCAGAAAGAAAAAGATACTGCAGGTGTTACACGTTCAGCTTCAAGTCCCAGACTTTCCTCCTCTTTGGATAATAAAGAAAAGGTAATCTATTTCACAGTCTGGTTTATGTGAAAACTCATGATTTCTTTTCCAGGAACATTAAATCTGGTAGATTGTCTGCTAGTTATCTTTAGATCTAGGTATCAAGTTAATTAACCTTAATGAATTACATAAGACAAATGTAATTTATACAGAATTATAAGTACTGGAAAGATCAGATGTATTTGCCTAAAACATAAATTATGGGACTATACTCAGTTAAAGGAATCTATTATCTTACTTGAGAATTTATAATAGAACTGTGTTAAGGAGCAGGCTTATTTTGTTTATTATGATTCAAGAAGCTTTCTGAAATTTAAAAAACATAGGAATACATTTATTCTAGAATGTTAGTATACTCATAAGTTACATTCAGTATCTGAAAAAAAACCCAGATTTTTCATCTACCATATTACAAGCAACTTTGTCTTAGTGAGTAAATTTAATAACTCTATTTTGAGAGGCGGTATTAATATTGCATTATTTAGGGTGTACCACAGTTTATTCAATACTAGTATTTATTTCTACAGCATAGTCAGCGCTTGGACTATTTTTTGCCCATACAGTTTTCTTTCTCTACATAGAAGTGTTTCCTTGTATCAGAAATTCAGATGAAATTGCTCCTCAAGTAATTCTAATATTTTTGCCTTTTATCAATTTGTTGTGCAATTGGTTTCCAGGTATTTTATACCAGCTTACTAGGAATGTATCAGAGTGTCATTGTCACTACACACTCTTAGCCATATTTGGATAAATATAATGTAAATAATATTTGTTTTGACTATTTTGATGTATTTGAGAGCACTGATTATCAAGGTTCTGAATAGCTTGTATAATATAAATGCTTGAGGCCTCTCAGTGAACCATATTTGAAACTTTATTTCTGTGGAAGAATTTCAGCTTATGACACAGTATTACTTTAATCTGCTATAGAAGTTTTAGAAAAAGTCATTAAAATGTGGAGGAATTTTTTTCCTTTCTTAGTTAAAATGTTATCTGATTCTAGACTGAAAGAGAAAGAAAACTACTTTGAACAGACTAATTATTGATTGACATTAATTTTAGAGTTTAGGAATTGTTGAAATACTGTAAACTATGATAGGTATGTAATTATACATTATTGAATAACCTTTTCTTAATACTTTTAGCATTGTCTATAGTCAGTACACAAATTAATTTTTACTTGTTCCTCTGTTGTGTAGGAGAAAGATAGTAAAGGAACTAGGCTTGCATATGTTGCACCTACAATACCAAGACGACTAGCCAGTACATCTGACATTGAAGAGAAAGAAAACAGGTGAGTTCATTTTTATTTGCTTTATGCATTCACTATAAAGTCTTTATTATCTAGCATGAGAGTTAATACATGAGCATTGTAATTATGTGTGGATATGTATTGTGGGAAGAGATGGAGGGTATTCCTGAAGGAGAAAATACCAACTACATAGTCCTGAGGAGGTGCAGACTTAGTATGTTCATGAAATAGCAAAGAAGTTGTGGCTGGAACAGAGTGAGGGGAAAGTGGGAGGAGATAGGTCGCAAACTAAGTTCTCTAAATATTTGAAACATTTAGGAAAGGGGAGAAAGAAGAAGGGAAGGAAAGCCCTGACTTAATCATTTTAGTTTGTTTTAAATATTTTTATTTAAATATTTTAGTTTGTTTCTTCCTATTTTTCAGCTTATAGAATTTGAATTTTTTTTTTTTTTTGGGACAGAGTCTCACTCTCACTCATGCTGGAGTGCAGTGGCGCAATCTCGGTTCACTGCAACCTCCACCTCTCGGGTTCAAGCAGTTCTCTGCCTCAGTCTCTCGAGTAGCTGGGGTTACAGGCACCTGCCACAACGCCCGGCTAATTTTTGTATTTTTCGTAGAGACGGGGTTTCACCATCTTGGCCTGGCTGGTCTTGAACTCCTGACCTCGTGATCCACCCGCCTCGGCCTCTCAAAGTGCTGGGTTACAGGCGTGAGCCACCGTGACTGGCCAAGAACTTTTTAATATACTTGTAATCATGTTATCATATCCAGCTTTTCATTTTTTTCCCCTAAGATCTCATAAGCAGTCGTGTATGTTAATATATATTTTTAATAAGCATTGTTTTTTATTGGCATGTAGTATACTATAAAGTAGATCTTCTGCAGTTAAAGTAAGCATCTCCCGTACTTTATATTTTGTGATCAAAAAGTATATTTCTGTAAATATCTGAATTTTCCCCCTATACTTAGGGGAAAAATTGTACCTTAGGGTATAATCTTAGTACTGAAATTATTTTATCTTCCTGATAAATATTCCCAAGTGTCCTCCCAAAGGTTTTTACTAGTTTCAGCTTATATTAATATTTACTGGTGTACAGCCTTTTTAATCCCATTTTAAAATTATCTACCAGAATCTGAAGGGTGTTCTTTTAACAGAGATTCTTCAAGTTTGCGAACAAGTAGTTCATATACAAGGAGAAAATGGGAAGATGATCTTAAAAAAAATAGCTCAATTAATGAAGGATCAACTTATCATAAAAGGTAATAATATTATTCTTAAGTGGTTTTTATGTATTCATTTATAAAAATATGAGGCAATTTGTTTGGAGCCCTCAGTTTAACATCATTTTAAACAAATACGTGTTTTTATTAAATATTATGAGTTTTTGTTGTTTAAAACTCACTCTAAACACAGGATATATATTTAAAGATGGGTGATAATTTGTTCTTATGCCTTTCTAGTATATAATTAAGCTTCAAATATTATGAAATGTTTTTTAGATTGTTACATATTTAAAAGGAACTCCTTTAGAAGGAACTCCTTGACTAGAACAATTTAAACAGGCCAGTGTCTTAATTGATCTGGTTGTCATTTTTGATCTGGAAAGATTTGCCTTGCCCTAGAACTCAGAGCTGTAGAAATGCTTTCAATTGGAATGTTGGTAGTATCATGTTGAAGAGGAAAAAAAGCCCTATAAACAATTTCTTTACTAAAAGCAACCAAAAAGAAGAGTAAGATGTGAACAAGTTTCATGTAGGCATTGGTTACTTCCGAGGTAGCTGACCCATTGCTGAAATAATTTTCTTCAAAAAATGTCAACGTCTTGTTTTCCGTGGGTAGTACAAAACCAAAGTGTGTTTTTCAGGCTCAGCCTGGCATGACCATATGGTGTGGAATAGTTTCAAAAATGTGAAATAGCAGATCATTGTCTTGCTGAGAAAGTTGGGAGGAGGCACTAAAATGATACACTACCAAATTAGTGAAGTTGTCTAAACTCTAGCAAGTCGTAGATGCAACTCTTGGTGCTGGAGCTGGTGGTGTATTTAGGAACACAGTTTTTAATTTTTTTCTAGCCTTGTAATTTGTATAATGTATAGACATTAACTCTAGAATACACATACAAACACATCCTATATAGATATGACTCTTTTGTTTAGTTGCTCCTTTGGTAGAAGACAAGATGATTTGATTAGTTCTAGTGTTCCAAGCACCACATCAACACCAACAGTTACCTCTGCAGCTGGGCTTCAGAAAAGCCTGCTTTCCAGCACAAGCACTACTACAAAGATTACAACGGGTTCTTCCTCAGCAGGCACACAAAGCAGGTAAGTCACAGATACATTTTGTGCTCAGGTCTACTGTGTGCTTATGTATGTGCATGCGTTTTTGTTTAGAAGATTGTGGGGCTCTGGATTTTCTCATTTATCTTGTTAAATTTATTCGCAAACAAAAATTGGTTCAACATGAGGCAATTATGCATGTCTGGGGGAAAATTTAAGTTCCTGAACAATGAACTTTCCTTGAATTAGACTGCTTAAAATGTAAATTTCTCTCTTTGACAACTCTGGGATAGCTTTTTGGTTCGTAATTTAAGGATGTCTCACCTTATGTTTTTAAAAAATCCATCCCTGTAGTCATGTGTTTTCAGCTGCTAGAAAGTGCTTTCGTTGTTTAGCTGTTTTCCTTTTCTCTTTTTTGTGTTGCTGCTTATGATGCTATAGTACCTCAAATCGTTTGTGGGCTGAGGATAGTACTGAAAAAGAAAAGGACAGTGTTCCTACGGCAGTGACCATTCCTGTTGCTCCAACTGTTGTAAATGCTGCAGCTTCTACCACAACCCTGACTACAACTACTGCTGGCACTGTCTCCTCCACAACAGAGGTCAGGGAGAGACGCAGGTGTGTAAAGGTCATAACAGTACTACTGATATATCTTGCCCAGTGATCAAAGTTGTTTTTTTGTTTTGAAAAAGATCTTGTGAGGTTGACGACCATCTCTCCAGTAGAGTAATAAATGAAATACCCTGTCAGCTCAGAACTAAATACAACTAGCAATTATTTGTATTTAGGCTTTGTGATCCATCTCTGACAGAAGTAATATTTTTTTGTTTAAAGTCAGTGAACAAGACAGTTGTTTTCTTACCTAAACATTTTAGTTTCTAAGGTGGTTTTATTTCAAAAAAATTTTTTGATGAACTGAACACACAACACACGGAAAATTAAATGCAACATGACAAAAACAGGTTTTATCATTCTTTTCATTGTTTCCTCCATTAAGAAATTTGAAGAATGTTGAACTGTAGTTCCTGTTGATTTTGAGAATTTTATATGAAGATTCTCTTGGTAAGGAAAGACTTCTGTGCTTAAGTGTAAGCCAGATAATTTTAAGTGTGTTGAATACATTCATTTACTTTTGTCTCTGATACATAGAAAGCACTCATTATTTAGATTTTTTTCAAAGAGTTTGAATTTATTTTGTGTGCTTAAATATTTTTAAAACATTGCTCACTTCTTTCTGTTGCCGTCTATTGGCATGGAATCATAGATGTACAAAGGAGCTTACTAACTATCTTTTGGGATTTCCTTGCTTTACCGAAGGAAACAGACCCAGAGATAATATGTGACTATTTTACTTTTGTATGGTTTATTGGTGTGAGGGCTGAGGCTTGCCCCAAGATTGCAGGAAAAGTAGTTCAGTTCTTTCTGCTATATGATGCATAGTCCCTAGTTTTTTTTTCCTCTTGGAAAAAAAAAAAAAGAAAACCTTAGGAAACCAAATGTCAGCTTTATTTTTATATTTTATTCTTGCAAAATTAAATTATGTAACTAATTTTTTTTTACTAAAATGCTGACCAGATTAACTTTGATTTATTTCTGTCACGTAGTAGTTACATACAGAGTTTTTTTTTCTCTTGTTGCCAAGTGAAGTGCCTGGCCTGTAGTAGTAATGGCCTCACAGTAATATTTGTGTTTGAATATGTGAAAAGTAGTAAGTTAGTGTTAACTTTTTCTTCTATCATTGCATGTTTAGTTTTTGTCTATATTTAGGTTTTGTTTGTACTTTTATGATGAAATTTAGTGGTACTTTTATAATGCCACTGCAAGTGGTGGTTTGTGATTTGAGTACCAGTATAGGTCACATATTATACTTTAATTATTCTTCCCTTTTTTCCTATAAACTTAAGTCAGTTTTAGGTTGTTGTAGTGCTCTCAGTAAGACTATAGAGCCAACAGAAATTAGTATCCATCATTTAAGTTTGAGGGGTTTACTTTTTTTGTTGGTGGGGTTGGGAGGGGTTGTTGAAAGGAAGAAGGATCAGAAGTTCTTGGTTTCTTAACTCCTTACTCTGCCTTGATTCTTAAGGTTAGAATTATCTTTGAGTCAGAATCTCTTCTGTTAAATGAGGTGTTTGATTTATATTTTTAACTTCTAGAATCTTTTCTGTCTCTAGCATTCAGTGCCTTTGAAAATGTCTCCAGTGACAAAACCTAATAAATGTCTCCCCAGAATCATCAATTGTTTCAGAACAAATTATGATTCTTAACCCACAGATTGTTTATTCTGCTGAAGAGAATTGAGTTTTGACTTTTAGAATTAGTCCTAATTAGTTTTAATGGAAGACATTGAAGATTGAAAATTAAACACTTGGATATATTTTTTAAACACAACATATTCTAATTGCGTAAGAAAAAAATGTGTCTGGTGACATTTTTTGTGGTCTATATTATAGAGATTTTTTGTCTTACCTTGTTTCAGTGATGTTTGCAGTGATATCAGTGTTTGTGTTTTGTTCCATGTGAAATAATTGTTTGCAATCTTGAATACATTGTTGGCCTCTTCTGTTTGTCTTTTATTTAAATTTCATCAATGGTTCTGAAATGTATATGATTTAAAATTTGCCTTAAAAATGTATATATGATAATTTGAGAATATACTGTGGCTAAAACAACAACAAAAAAGTCAACACAGGTATACTATTTGGGTTGCTCAGAAAATGGTAAGCATCTAAGGAATAAAATTATATACCCTGTGTAGTTCTAAGAAAGAGATGCAGTAGGTAAGGTCAGTGTGATATAGCAATGATAAAGGCAACAGTAGGGTTTGGTGGGTATATTCTACCATCTTCTAATGATCAGCTCTTTGCAATTAAAAGTACAGAAAATATATAAATTATTTTTCTTCTCTATGTCGTATTCTTAGAGGTCTGCTCTAGATAGGTACCCCAAAGGAGGAGAAAGGAACTGAATATTAGATGGTAATTATCAAATAAAGGAAATGTGTTTATATTACAAATTGATAAGCTATATTTTTATGCTAATTTGGGATGAATGTCACATGGAAAATTAAAATTATCTGCAGGTGCAGATTTTGTAAGTCTTTCAATTAGTAACTTTAATCCCCCTAACCTTCATCTGTGAAACCAGGTATGATAGATTTATTGACTTTTGTGGCAATTTGAAACTATTGAAAAGGAATCCAGGTTCATTGGGAGAGAGTGTAATGGTTGATAGTACTATTTGCCACGGTAATAAAAAAGAGCCAAGTGTCAATGCAAATTTCTCTGTTATAAACTAAATATGAAACATTTGACTGTAATCAAATCTGACAGTAGTTCACGTTCATGTTTAGTTTTAGAGCAGCTCATGAAATACTAAAGTGATAGCATGCACCCTATCTGTCTTGCTGTGAACTTTTTTTTTTTTCCAAGACAGGATCTCGGTCACCCAGGCTGTGTGTGGTTGTGTGATGATAGTTTCTGCAGCCATGACCTCCTGGGTTCAAGGGATCCTCTCACCTCAGCCTCCTGAGTAGCTGGGACTACAGGTGTGCCATCACACCCAGCTAATTTTTTAAATTTTTGTAGAGATGGAGTCTCACTGTGTTGCCTAGGTTGGTCTCAAACTCCTGGCCTCAAGCAGTCTTCCCACCTTGACCTCCTAATGTGCTGGAATACAGGCATGAGCTACTATACACAGTCTGCTATAAACTTTGTTTAACCAGATTAACTATCACATTTAAGTTTAATCTCCTTTTTTCTTCTCTTCATTTGGTAGAAGTCTGAAAAGTAATAAATTGCATAGGGCCAGTAGGTACATACTTAAATTAAATGCATGAATGGAAAAAATAGCCATTGGACATTTTCCAGGCTGATGTTCTTAGGAGCACTTTTTTATATTTACTGGATATGCCACAAAATGGGTCGGGGTAGAGGATTCTCTGTTTAAATGGTCTTGGGAAATACTGAGGTAAGCCAAGTTAATACAGGTTACATTTCTCATTATATCACAGACCTTTTAATATGTTATTGTGGTTTTCTTAGAGAAGGTTAGAATATGTAGCATTTCCCTAATTTATACAACCGTTTTTTGTAACAAGCCCAAGCCCCTCTTATATCCCAGAATTAATGTTCTTAAATTTTAATAACAAGATTATTAGTTTTTCTCTTACTCCTTTTGAATTACTTGTCCCAGGAAACTCACTATAATAGTTATAAAAACATAGTATCGCATATCTAAATAAAATTAAAGTCAAAGTATAATAGTGATGGAATTTTCATCTTAATATAAGTTTATTGGATGTCCCATTCAAGTAAAACTCCATCTTGTGAATTTCTTGACTTAGCTATAAATGTAATTATGTAGAAACAGCAAGAAGAACCAGTTCTCGGAACTAATTTTAAGCAATAAGTAAGAGTTAATTGATGAAATTGAGGCAACTAAGATCTTGTGTGAGAAATTACCTGGTCATCTTAGGGTTAATTATCTAAGGAGGTGAATGCTAAGAATAATATCATATATTCTAGTTTTAGAGAAGCAGTTTCCAAAAATTTCAGGGTTGTAGAAAGAAATATGATTTCCTTATATATATAAAAGGAATGAGGGTTCTCAAAAGAGTTTTGAAAAAATGGTAGATGATTCTAAGGATGTTTGAAGATGTGCTATACTTGCTGAACTGAGAGCTTTAAAGGACACAGAGAAAAGGCATAAAACCCACAGTAAAATCAGAGGTTTATTATTATGATTGTATGAATAGTGTTAGGCTAAAAAAATGAATTACACATTGAGAAGAATGCTAAAGCTAACAAAAGAAAGAATCTTTTTTTGAGACAGAGTTTTTCTCTAGTTGCCCAGGCTGGAATGCAATGGCACAATCTCAGCTTACCACAACCTCCACCTCCCGGGTTCAAGCAGTTCTCCTGCCTCAGCCTCCTGAGTAGCTGGGATTACAGGCATGCACCACCAAGCCCGGCTACTTTTGTATTTTTAGTAGAGATGGGGTTTCTCCATGTTGGTCAGGCTGGTCTCGAACTCCTGACCTCAGGTGATCTGCTTGCCTCGGCCTCCCAAAGTACTGGAATTACAGGCGTGAGCCACCGTGCCCGGCCAAGAAAGAGCCTTTTTTAAAAGTAGCATTTGAGCTGGCGCGGTGACTCACGCCTGTAATCCCAGCACTTTGGGAGGCCGAGGTGGGCGGATCACAAGGTCAGGAGATCGACACCATCCTGGCTAACAGGGTGAAACCCCTTCTCTACTGAAAATACAAAAAAAATTAGCTGGGTGTGGTGGCGGGCACCTGTAGTCCCAGCTACTCGGGAGGCTGCAGCAGGAGAATGGCGTGAACCTGGGAGATCGACACCATCCTGGCTAACAGGGTGAAACCCCTTCTCTACTGAAAATACAAAAAAAATTAGCTGGGTGTGGTGGCGGGCACCTGTAGTCCCAGCTACTCGGGAGGCTGCAGCAGGAGAATGGCGTGAACCTGGAAGGCGGAGCTTGCAGTGAGCCGATATCATGCCCCAGCACTCCAGCCTGGGCCACAGAGTGAGACTCCGTCTCAAAAAAAAAAAAAAAGGGCAGCATTTGAATAAAGAAAACTCAGTAGATCATTGCCTGGGGTTTTAAGAGGGGAATACGTGGAATAAACTTCATGAATTTAAACAGCATAGAAGATAGAGATGCAGTTGACCCTTGAACATTGTAAGAGTTAGGAGTGCTGACTCCCTGTGCACTCAAAAATTTGCATGTAACTTTTGAATCCCCCAAATCTAAATTAATAGCCTACCATTGACTGCAAGCCTTACCAATAACATAAGCGGTTGATTAGCACATATATTGTATGTTACATATATACTCTATTCTTACTATAAAGTAAGCTAGAGAAAAGAATGTTATTAAGATACTCATAAGGAAGAAAAATGTATTTACTAATTAAGTGGAAGTGGATCATCACAAAAGTCAGAATTCTCTTCATCCTCACATTGAGGAGGAAGAGGAGGGATTAGTCTTGCTGTCTCAGAGGTGGTGGAGGGGGTAGGAGGAGGCAGAAGAGACAGGCACACTTGGTGTAACTTTCATATAAGTGGACCTGCACAGTTCAAACCTGTGGCGTTCAGCAGTCAACTGTACTCTACTTCTGTAAGTGTTCTCTGAGAAGTGTGAGCTAGGTGGTGTAATTGGATGAAGCGTTAATGATTGGACTTCCCAAGAAATACTGATTATCAGAGAAAAGGCTTTATGTTGTGTTGCAGGGCTCTGTCATATCCTTGCTTGTTTGACTTTAATTATTTAACTTTTTTTTTTTTGAGATGGAGTCTCAACTCTGTCACCCAGGCTGTGTGGTGGTCCAATCTCAGCTGACTGCAACCTTGATCTCCAGGATCAGGTGATCCTTTCATCTCAGCATCCAGAGTAACTGGGAGTACTGACATGTGCCACATGCCTGGCTAATTTTTCTATTTTTTTGTAGCGACAGGTTTCCTCATGTTTCCCAGGCTGGGCTCGAATTCGTGGGCTCAAGCAGTCAGCCTTCTTCAGCCTTCCAATGTGCTAGGATTACAGGCATGACCCATGACACCCAGCCTTGTTTAACTTTTGACACAGATTACATGCTTTTGAAAAGGTGCATACCCCATGACAAGAGGAAACATAGGAGACAAGAGGAAACATAGGCTTAAATTTATAAGAAGAAATTTAGTGGCGATAAATGCCAAGACCTGTTCTTTATATCAGAAAATCAGTTACTCAAGAGTAACATGCTGATTTAAAAGCTGTTTATATATAAAAAACACTTGAATTTTTTAGAGCAAAGTATGAACAATAACGTGTTGTCTGACGTGTCATTAGTAAAAGCACACTGACAAGAATGCAGGGAGACTGGGTGCGGTGGCTCACGCCTTTAAGCCCAACACTCTGGGAGGCCAAGGCAGGCAGATCACTTGAGGTCAGGAGTTCGAGACCAACCTGGCCAACATGGTTGAAATCCCGTCTTCACTAAAAATAAAAAAATTAGTCAGGCGTGGTGGTATGCGCAGGTCGTCCCAGCTACTGGGGAGGCTGAGGTGAGAGAATCACTTGAACGCCTCTGCACTCCAGCCTGGGCGACAGACTGAAACTTTTGTCTCAAAAAAAAAAAAAAAAAAAAAAAGATTTAGAAACGAATTTGATACCTGTCTTCCAATGTTTGAAAATACTGTAGGTAGAGAAGAAATTAAAGCCCCTTTTAGTAGGTCATTAAATAAGATGCTTAGATTACCACTTTTGGGGGATGTTTTCAGGGCTGGAGAAGAGGATCTTCCTTGGTTAAAAACAGACAAAAAATTTACTCCTTATCCATTCTGGTTAATTGGGCTAAATGAAATCTTTCTATTTCTTTCAGTAGAGCTAAAATTTTTAATCTTCAGTTCTCTAAATCCTTTTTAAAAATGTAGTTTCATCTTTAAATTAAATTACATTATTTTTTTAAATGTAGTTAGGAAGTTAAAATGTGATATTAAAATATAATTATTAAAATATAACTAGTTCCAATCTAAAAAGAAATTATCGGATTGCATTATTGAATTTCAAAGACCATTTTCTGAAGACTTTTCCTTAAAACTTATTAAAATACTAAACCTGTATGTTTTATTCATATACATTGATAGATATTTACATTCACAGTTATTGCATTTACAACTAACGGTTTTTTTAATCTATTACTGTAGATCATACCTCACTCCTGTTAGGGATGAAGAGTCTGAATCCCAAAGAAAAGCAAGATCTAGACAAGCAAGACAATCTAGAAGATCAACACAGGTATAGTTAATGTAATTAATATATAAAACTTACATAAGTAGCATATAAAACATATATACAGACACACACGTTAAACAAGTTACCTTTCTCTTTTTCACTTTGTTGTGAAAATATTGATGTTAGTATATAGTGTGAGTAAATCCTCAAAAGGTAAAGGTTACTCATAGCCTTTTGTACGGTTACACTGTTACTATTATATTTCATCTAATTAGCGTATGCCTTTGTGTCTTTTTGAGTATTTTATCCTTATTCCTAATACAGTGTGTGGCACAGAGTATTTGGTTAGAATAATCATATATGATGTCTAATAACTATTTAAAAGTTCTATGAATATTTGGAAGTTGTGGGCAGAGAATAGGGTCTTATATTAGGTATATTAAACAGCTAATGTGCAAGTATTAAAAAAATGTCATTCAGGCTGGTGATCTCCTTACCTCCATTTTGCCATTCTAATTATGCTATATATGATGCATACTTTTGTGTCTTTCTACTTTTCCACAGTTAGGAAGGTCCACAGTCCAGATTCAGCTGTCTGTCCTTACCATTACTTAGCTTTCAAGCTGAACTATTTGCTAGGGCCTTAATATACTTTTTCTGCCTATACTTTTCACTTCTTGAAATCTAAACCTGTTCTTCAAGGTCAAATCTTGAAAAATTTATTGAAATCTCTTTTAAGCCTTAGCAATTGTTGTGCATGTATATATAGATATATATATACACATATATATACACACACAGAGAGACATATATAAACATAAATATTTATAATATAATATGCAAACAGTATATATATTGGCTATTCTTCCCTACTTTGAGCTTGTGGGGAACATTTATATGCATAGAGTATCCAGTACCTATCATTGTGCTTGCTAATGGTGATTCTTCATAGAATGAATGTAACTTGCTGTTTCCATTTGCAAACCAATCCTAAACATGCATATTTGACTTTTAATGCATTTGTATGTGATATATGTATTTCTAAAATATCCCTTTGAACAAGCTTTAATGCATCTCATAATTATATTGATCTTTTTGTGTGTGCAGGGAGTGACATTAACTGATCTTCAAGAAGCTGAGAAAACCATAGGAAGAAGTCGTTCTACCCGAACCAGAGAACAAGAAAATGAAGAAAAAGAAAAAGAGGAAAAAGAAAAACAAGATAAAGAGAAACAAGAAGAAAAGAAGGAGTCAGAAACATCTAGAGAAGACGAATATAAACAAAAATACTCCAGAACGTATGATGAGGTAACAGTATATCAAAAACACATTTAAGTCAAATGGTATGAATAGTCCTTATGATCCTCAACATACAAGAGATTTATATACCAACAAACCATATACAAAATACTGTAAAGGATTTTAGCTGGAAATTTGAATTACTTTGGCATGATTAGAACACTACTTTTTCCTTGAAATGAAGTTTTAAGTATTTTATATGTTTTTAATTGTGTTTAGTGTTTCAAGTGGTTTTGATCTTAATGTTTCACAGACTTACCAGCGTTATAGGCCAGTATCAACTTCAAGTTCAGCCACTCCATCCTCTTCACTTTCTACTATGAGCAGTTCACTCTATGCTTCAAGTCAACTAAACAGGCCAAATAGTCTTGTAGGCATAACTTCTTACTCCAGAGGAATAACAAAAGAAAATGAAAGAGGTAAGAATAGCAAATTTTGAAAACACTTTGCTTTCTTCATATAATCCCTTGGATTAGGGTTTCCTAAATAGTAATTCAACAGAAAAGGAACAGCATCCTAACTTGTGATTCATTGAACCTAAACAGAAAGAATATGAAGGTTGAGAATGAGAAAAGTAGAAAACAGAAATAGAAAATAATATGGCCTGCAGTTGATATTAATATTTTTATAACCTAATATTTCACAAAAATCTTCATGTCCACCTGCAAAGAAAAGTTAATATAGAACTGGTGGGTGACTATTTCTAGAAGCAATTTATTACTGTAGTACTTTTCAGATGCTTCAAGCTATTTCTTGTCTACTGTGTAGATCATATCATTTAAATAGTTTTTGTGAAATTGTTGTAAACTGAAATTACTAAATACATGTAATGATCTCACTAAAACACATTTTTTATGCTTATTTCTTGAAAAATACATTTCTCTCAACTATATATTGGCATATTGATACTCATTATTACCATTTCCTATTATTTTATATAAACTTCTATTTAAATTCTGAGTAATTCCTACTTTAAACCAGAGATAAGTACTAAATAAAATTACTTTTAATTATAGGCATTTTATATTTGAAAGCCTAAATCTTACAGTATTAGTCATGATAATATCAGTAATAATGTAGAATAAACACCAGAAAATAAAGTTTATTCCCAATTTCCAGCTATATAGTTTCTTATATTGATCATTGAGATATTTCAGTTCTTTAAACTGCTATATGTGAGGCCTGCATCGTGTTTGTAAAAATGTTGAACCAACATTTAATATTAGAGATACTCACTTCAAACTTAAGATTTTTGTCATTTCTTGAAAAGTTGACAGATCTGGCAACAGTGGATCTGTATTCTCAACAATTGGCTGGAGCTAAGCAGTAGCAGCTGCCTATCATCTTCCTTTCCCCTGGATAGTCCCCTGGCCCATTTTACCCATTGTTTTTACAATTACCTTGCAAAATATTGTCAAGATATATTGCTATATTATGGTTTATTGCAATCCTTAACAGAGGGAGAAAAAAGAGAAGAGGAAAAAGAAGGAGAAGATAAATCACAATCTAAATCAATTAGAGAACGACGGCGACCAAGAGAGAAAAGAAGATCTACAGGAGTTTCATTTTGGACACAAGATGTGAGAATCTATTAAAATACATTATTTGATAGTATTCTGGTTTTTTTTTGTTTTGTTTTGTTTTTGTTGTTTTTTTTTTTGATACGGAGTCTTTCTCTGTCACCCCGGCCGGCGTGCAGTTGCGCAATCTTGGCTCACTGCAAGCTCTGCCTCCCGGATTCACGCCATTCTCCTGCCTCAGCCTCCCAAGTAGCTGGGACTACAGGTGTACCCCACCACACCTGGCTAATTTTTTGTATTTTTTAGTAGAGGCGGGGTTTCACTGTGTTAGCCAGGATGGTCTCGATCTCCTGACCTTATGATCTGCCCACCTCGGCCTCCCAAAGTGCTGGGATTACAGGCGTGAGCCACCGCACCCAGCAGTGGTATTCTTAATGTGTCCAAAAGTACATACTAATAATTTCTTATATGCCTTAGATTATATATTCCTTAAATCATCACAGTGTTTTCTGAGTTGAGTTGTTCAATGAGAAAAATTATTTTTAAGGATAGTTAACTACTTAGATTGTTGGTACTACTTAAAAGGAGTAGTTCTGACCTAATTATGGAATAGAAATAATAATGTCTGAAGGTCAGAGTGCGGTATTGATTATTTTATAATAGCTAAACTGCTCCTTTACTTGTAAAAACATCTTTTAAGAATATCTAAGGAGTCTATTTAAATTTCATTTTCATAAATATCATTATAAGATCTACATTACAGATTACTTCCATCTCAAGGCATGCTAAATAGAAACAGTGCTTTGTTTATCAAATTACAACAGTCTTGTAAAAATTAGTGTTTTTTTCCTGATCCTTGAATGTAGGCCTGACACTGCTATTCATTGATTTTGTGTCCATTTTCTAAAAAATAAACCTTTTATTGAAGTATGGCATGTTCAGAAATATAACTCATACATGTATAGCTTAATGAATTAGCACAATGGGAGCATATCTATGTAATCACCACTCAGAATGATGAATAAAAGCAGCAGTGTAGATTGCCCCCATGTTCTCCCTCTCAATCCCTATTATCCTCATTTTCAAAGTTAGCTAGTATCCTGATTTCTAACACCGTAGTTAACTATGCCTGTTTTTGAAGAGCATATGACTAGAACTATAAATTTTATAACTCAGTGTTATGTTTATAAGATATATCTGTGCTATTGTATGTAGCAGTACATTTACTTCTATTGTTATAAAAATACTTCTTAAAGAAAATTTCTATCCATTCTTTCACTGAAAACATGGAATCAGCTGTCTTCCTGTTAAACTGACCCATCTCTCACTGTATGTTCCTCTTTATCTCTTAATATTATATCTTACCTTAAATTCCGCTTTTTTGAAAAGCTTTCTTTGATTATCTTTGTATAATACATATTTTCCATTATTTTCAATTTATTTGTGTTTTTTTTAATAAACAACATATTTAGGTCAACTTTTTTCTGAACATTTTTTTAATTACAGTGTTTTAGTCCATTTTCATTTTACTTAATTACTAATTAATTAATTAAATGTACCGCAAATAACATTGTCATATGCAGCTTAAAATATATAAAGAGCTAAGGCATATGAAAACAATAGCACAAAGATATGGGAAAGTATTAAATGGAGTTCAAGAGTTTTAATATCTTTGCATTGTCCATGCTGTGGACAAAATATATATTCGACTTGATGAATCAAGAGTGCATATGTCTATTTTAAAAAGTTTAAAAAGAGAAGGAAAATCATACATAAATGACAAAGGAAGAACAGATGAGGAAATCAAAAAATAGTTTTCTATTTTTCTTTTGATTTTTAATATAGAAAAGTTAAACATATACTTTATAGAAGTAACAGAATAGTGTGAGGAGCCCTACCCCAAGTATTCATTTTTTCAGTTAAATTCCCACCCTATCCCCCAACTCCCATATTATTTAGAAGAAAATCCTAGACATCTTATTTTATCTACAAATGTCTCAATGTATATTCTGAGAGAGGACTCCCAAAAATTATTTTAAAAAATAATTTTTGAAATTATTAGTAAAATTTCCTACAATAAATTGGCAATCTATTTTTAGAGTGATGAAAATGAACAAGAACAACAATCAGACACAGAAGAGGGATCCAATAAGAAAGAAACTCAGGTAAATACCATTACTTTTTGTATTGAGAAGTATTCATATTTTTTAATAATCCTTTTAAATTGTGTTTTATTATATTTATTCATGCAAAACAGTTATTGCATACTCTACCTACATGCCGGGTATGCAGTATCAGTGTTTGCCTGGGGATCAGGATTAAAAGGACTGGGAAGGGTCACAAAATAATGTTTTGGAGGTGATGAAAATGTTCTGGGTCTTGATCCTAGTGGTGGTTTTGTGGATATACAGAACTGCCAAAACTCACCAAATTGTACACTCTAAGTGCATGTAATTTATTGTATGTCATTTAACCTTCGGCGTTAAAAGAAAAAGCAGAAAAAGAAATAGTACCCTTGGCCAAAGGAAAATATCTAAAGGCTACTCAGAAGTAGTAGAAATCCGAAAGTAGTAGGCTCAGATTTTATTTCTGTAGATTTTATTTCAAAATTATGTTCTGGAGAAGATAGGCATCTTTTAACTTTCTTTTACATATATTTAGAAATTTAGAGTCTCCAACAGATTTTTATGTTTAGAATCTAAAAGACATTTTTTTCCTCTCAGTACTGATGAAGAACCTAAAGCAAGTTTGAATGACAAGGCTGCATAGCCAGCAAGGGTTGAAAGTTCCCCCACCCGCTTCCTGATTGTTTGGCTGTGCAGAAAGCTAAAAAATATTTAAAATATTTCTATTCGTATGAGGATAGAGCTGAACAACACGAGTTAGTTCTAAACCTGGCATTGTTTAGCCTGAAATAGCATTCTGGTCATATTAATATTATTTTACTCATTTTGAGTTGAAGTTCCTTAATAGAGCAAACACATTTCTTTTTAGTCAGCAAGGATCTACAGTAACAGGAAGTGAACAAAAGTAGGTTGCCTTTGCTAGGTAACTGTGAACATTATTTTAGGGCCAAGTTTGCCTATTTCCACCCCAAAATTTTATTTTATCTTTAGGTGGCCAGACATTGAGGAGTGAATTGGTTCTGAGGTTACATTATTTGCAGACCTAAAGCTTTAACTGTTACCTAAACTATTTGCTTGTCAGTTATCAGAACTCCCCAATTTACCTATGTCCCTTCTTTATTATATTCTATCAACTTACCCATCATCTTCCTTTCCCAGTAGTACCCTGTAAATTCTCATCTTTCCATGAAAAACAATGGACAGGTAAACAAGAGGGGAGGAAATTAGTAAACCTTCCCTGTCTGACACCTCTCATTGCCTTATCATGCAGACTCCAACCCCCACCAAGCTGGAGTGGAAGGGAGATTATCTAGCTTTTAAAGTTGTAATTTTGAAGCATATTGATGTATGTTGTATTTAGTTTTACTGTTAAAATTATATGTGAGATACGTTAAGATGAAGAGGAACATTGTTTCTAAAAAGAAAAGTTTTTTTATTTTCAATTTAAGTGTTTTTTGTTTACTTTAAATAGATCTATATTTATTTATCTGTTATTCGTTACTTATAACTAAAAGAACTCCAACCTATTTAATAGAACAATCTATTTGTTGTAACTCCAAATAGGTTGGAGTTCTTTTAGTTATAAGTAATGAATAACATATAAATAAATGTAACAAATATAAATAACAATATGAAACCTAAGTCAAACTGGATTAAACAAAGAAAATGTACTCCAGTTATATTCTGCAGTCCTTTGTGTCAGCTTCATCCTCAGGCTGATTTATCTCATAGGGATGAGATTATAGTTGGCTTAGGATAGACAGGGCCTGTCACTGAACTGTTGCAGCCATTTTGCTACCAACATGGGCTACATGTCATCTTACCTAAACCTAGTAACTGCTACACCATCAGAAAAAGGAAGAATGGATGTAGATAAATAAATAAGATGCAATGTATGTGTGTAGATCAATATTTTCTATATTCACATAGATGTTATGTATCCAGAAAAGGTTGGTTAGATAACAGTGGTTATCTAGAGAATGGAGGGATGAGAAATTACACAGGAACTTTGTATACCATTATATGAACTTACAATACCATAGTCAGAAAGATATTTCTGAATATCATTCTATATGTTTTAATCTTTTTTATCTTTAAAAGCATATTTTTACTTTGGAAAATTAATCTTAAAATTTGGGGAACAAGGGCATTATGCTAAATGAAATAAGCAAGTTACAAAAAGACAAGAACTATGTGATTCCACTTATTTTATTTGGGTATCATAGAAACAGAAAGTAGAACCATTGTTGTGAGAGCTAGGAAGAGGAGGACAAAGGAAATTGTTCAATGGATATAGAGTTTTATTTTTACAAGATGAAAAAATTCTAGAGATCTTTTGCACAACAATATGAATATAATTAAAAATACTGAACTATATACTCTTAAAAAACAGTTTACATAGTAAATTTTACAATATGTGGTTTTTACCACAATTCTTAAAAGTTTTTAAATGATAGGCCGGGCATGGTGGCTCACGCCTATAATCCCAACACTCTGGGAGGCTGAGGTGGGAGGGTTGCTTGAGCCCAGGAGTTGAAGACCAACTTGGGCAACATAGGAGACCCTATCTCAACAGTAAATTTAAGAAATTAGTCGGATGTGGTGTTGCATGCGTGTAATCCCAGCTAACTGGGAGGCTGAGGCAGAAGGATCACTTGGGCCAGGAAGTCAAGGCTGTAGTGAGCTGTGATCATATCACTGCACTCCAGCCTAGGAAACAGAGTGACACCTCATGTCAAAAACAGTAATAATAATCAGCGATAACACCATGATTTTTAAAGACAAACGGAATTTGAGTGATTTCTGTGACTAGACTTTCTATTTTTAAAATTTAAATCAGTGAATGTAAGTGCAAACTATAAGGTGAGATGTATTATTTTTGTTTGATATGTAGACATTTTAGTTCATGAATAGCCATTTTACTGAATTTGAATATGTTGAAAATTGAAATTTATTCTTTAAAATTGTTAGTTGTTGTAAAACCGAAGAGTAAATCAATAAAATAAAACATTACTTTAAAAAACAATGGAAGGAGCAAAGTTAAAATTGGTTTTGCAGAGGAAATTTACATAGACTTTAGTAAAACATTTTTAGTCCAAAATAGGCTTAACAATCCCAAAAGTAACCTAGTAATTTTACAGTATCTCCAAAGATAAATATAATGGGAAATCACTAATATTTAAATTAAGAAGTTTAACTAACCATTCTGTATAGTTAAATTATAGAATCAGTGAGTATTTCAATAGAAGTAGAAAAGGCTAAATTTGACTACTGAAAAAGACTACTTTGGCCCCCAGTAAGAGTGTTTTACCCTATTAATCTTTTCACCATTTAAATAAGACTTTCTGGAACTTGAGTGTAGCATACCACTTGCTTGAGAAAATTAAATTTCCTATCACCTAACTGCTAACCTTAAAGGTATATAGCTGGATTTCCAGAAAGTAAATTTTAAACAAAATATGTATATACTGTTATGTATAAAGTACCTTAGGTGTTCATTTGTTTGCTTCTCATTGCCTCAGAAACAAAAATGAGTAAAATGACTGCTTTGAGATATCATAGTAAACTCAACATTTCTTAATGTAAATATATTACTTCCTCCTGCTCAGTGGGTATATGTAATAGATATCTTTCTTAGTCTCTTTTTTTATTTTAATTAAAAAATATTGTAAGTGGTCATTGTAGGAAGTCACAGGAGATACCCATAAATTGCCACATGTAATTGCATGATGATATGCCTTTGAAAATATACAGAGACTCTGTATTCTAGAACCTCTTTCTAAAACAACCTCAGTAAAATTAAAACACATGTAGAAAACAGATGTTAGTTTAATAGTTTGAAAATGTTATTGATACTACATTAAATTTACTTAATCAGAGGTTAATAGTTTAATGAAAACATAAAAATTTAGTATGCCTATGTTTTTCTCTTTCTTTCTAGACGGATTCCATTTCTAGGTATGTTTTATTTATTTTTTAATTGACTTTTTTCTTATTTTTATCTTTGTTAAAAATGTTTTGCTAGGAATCTATGGATTTTGTAAGTTTATAGAATTATTTGATGATAAAAAAATTACAGAAATTTTGATGGCCTTATCATTGTTACTAGCTTTCTTTGTTAAAGGCTTTACTTCTAGATCACTAGTCAAAGCAAGTGAGATTTTTTCCCAAATCTCTACAACAGAGGTATTCCAAAGTTTCTTAGGTTAGTTCAACTATCTCATTATTAACATCAGGGACTGATAAAACCCACACTTGGCCAGAAATATATTTGATTAAGTATTCAGAATCTTCTCTTATGTAGTCCTGCTTTAGACAAAAGAGAACCAATGAAGACACTTTAAAAAATGTCATCTAGCTCAAGCCTATAATCCTAGCACTTGGGGAGGCTGAGGCAGGAGCATCGCTTGAGTCCAGGAGTTGAAGACCAGAGTGGACAACATCAAGACTCCATCTCCACCAAAAAAAAAAAAAAAATTTTTTTTTCTTAATTATCCAGGCATGCCTATATGCTCCTCTATTCCTAACTACTGGGGAGGCTGAGTCAGAAGTATCACTTGAGCCCCTAGGAGTTCAAGGTTATAGTGAGCTATGATTGTGCCAGTGCACTCCAGCCTGTACTCCTCACTGGACACAGTGAGACGCTGTGTCTTTAAAAAAACAAAACAAAACAAAACAAAAAGTGTCACCTAATTCAAAATTATCCATTTTTTCAGAGAACCTCCACTCTATCCTTGATTTTGATGTCCATTCCATTTCTCTTATCATTGTTAACCACAGCCCTGTAAGACCAATAATAAATTTCTGTCTGCTGATGATTCTATTGAATTGAAATGCAGAGCCAATGGCATCTGTCAGAAAAGGTAATCTGAATTTCAGAACCAGATAATAAGAGAATTCTCCTTTACCAATAAGATTTGTTTTTCCTGTTTAGGACAAAGCCATTACCTGTCACTTTGGATATACTTTATTTCATCAAATCTAAGACATTAGTCATTTTTAGAACACCATTGTGTTACCTACTACTAAAAAAAGGAAAGGTGCTACCAATTAAACTAGAATGCATCGTCAATTGTAAGCCATTTTCTGGTTTTGGAAATATTAAAATGTGGGAGGAAACGTACAATTTAGAATATTAATCATATGAAACCAGTTTTGGCTTTTAAACATGGAAATGTTGACTCTCTTCCTCAATTAATGGAAATTAGTAGTATTAAAAAATAGCTGGGTGCAGTGGCTCATTCCAGTAGTGTCCCAACACTTTGGGAGGCTGAGGCATGTGAATTGCTTGAGCCCAGGAGTTCAAGACCAGCCTGGGCAACATGTTGAAACCCTATCTGTACCAAAAGTACAGAATTAGGCATGGTGGCATGTGCCTGTAGTCCCAGCAACCCAGGGGGCTGAGGTAGAAGAATCACTTGAGCCCGAGAAGTCAAGTGCAGTGAGCTGAGATCATGCCACTGCACTCCAGCCTGGCAGCAGAGTGAGACTCTATCTCAAAAAATAAAATAACTTCCCACTTATTATATATCACAAAAATTAATCAGATAACAGAGGGAGACTGTGACCTACACTTTTGAACTGTCAAGTTATATGTGTACTAGGATGTATGTTAATATAAGTTGTAAAAGCCTATAACAAGGTTTTTTATTTAAATCTTTTGAAGATATGAAACCAGTTCTACATCAGCTGGTGATCGATATGATTCCTTGCTGGGTCGCTCTGGATCATACAGTTACTTAGAAGAAAGAAAACCTTACAGCAGCAGGCTAGAAAAGGATGACTCAACTGACTTTAAAAAGGTACTTGGGTTATTTAGTTATATTTAATAAAAAAATAAGTTATCTTTTATGTTGAGATACTCATATGCAGATGTTATTTTAAAAACTCATAATGAAATGAGTAAAATAACATTTTCATTTTCAGTTTTCGGCAAGTGATGGTAAGTAGAATGTAAATAGCTGTTTGTTTATTAAAGGGAAGAGAAAATCATCCAAGATGATTTTACATTTAAGTGTCTCAAGTCATTGCTATGATTGAGCTGGAAAGGAGCATTCAGTAAACAGGTGCACACAAGTGTATGCACACTTTGTTTCTTTGTTTGTTACTAGGAAGCAGCCAAACAGAAGATGGCTTTTCCTAAGAGAATATATTGATAGTTTTTCATAGGTAACTGAAAAACTTGGGGCAGCTCAAGTGCTGTTAAGGATTGAAGTAATTAAGAAATAAATCCCAGAAACTCAATAATCTGGGATTCATTTATATATTCATATTTTGTGCTTTATAGTAAACAGAAAGTCTGTTGGAGAAGGAGAAAGCTTATGGCATTTGTACATGTCCCCAGTTATCTGGCAGCTGTTTGAATTAGATACTTTTTTAAAAGCCAAGTTAGGGGAATGGGTGAGGGAGAGAATCATTTTACATTATGAGTAAGATTCATCATTTATTCAATAAAGAATTGAACTGTGCTAAGTAGAGAGATTCTACTAATGGGCAGATGGAGATGAAGATGTTATCTTGCTCTCGTGGGCATCTTCCATGTAGTGGGGGAGAGAGACCTTATTATATAGTCATACTAATGAATGTATAATTAATAATGGAGACAGTTAACCTGAAGTAGAAAAGCAATTTTATAAAAGTATATAACAAAAGAAAGTAGATTGATTTCCTTGGCTGGGCACAGTGGCTCATGCCTGTAATCCCAGCACTTTGGGAGGCGAGGCAGGCAGATCACCTGAAGTCGGGAGTTCGAGACCAGCCAGACCAACATGGAGAAACCCCCTCTCTACTAAAAATACAAAATTACCCAGGGTGTGGTGGCGCATGTCTATAATCCCAGCTACTTAGGAGGCTGAGGCAGGAGAATCACTTGAACCCAAGGAGGCAGAGGTTGCATTGAGCTGAGATCACACCATTGCACTCCAGCCTGGGCAACAAGAGGGAAACTCTATCTCAAAAAAAAAAAAATTTGATTTCCAAAGGAAGTGTGGTTTCAGCCAAACGTGGAAGGATTACTAATAGTTAACTGGCAAAAATGGGAGAGAAAATTATTCCAAATGGAGTGGAACTACACGCACATAGACCTGGTGGGGGGAGAATACATGATGCATTGGAATAATTAAATTTTAATTATGGCTAGTAGGGGGAAGAAATATTTATTTGAGGCAGCAGTTGTGTAGGCTGAGACCGGATAATGCAGTGCCTTATAGGCCACTGTAAGATTTTGTGTATGCTAAGAACATCGGGAAGCCATTCAAGAGTTTTTAATTTGTGGGTGGAAATGGAATGGTTGGCCTATGAAAATGACGAGATTTTCATTTTGAAAAGTTAATTTTAGCTCCTATATACAAAACAGATTAGAGAGCGATCAGGGAATTAGAATAGTTTAGATAAGAGATGATCATAGCCAGAATTATGGTGGAAGTAGTAAAGCAGGGGTGAGGAAGAAGCAGTGTTAAGAAAGACAAAAAGCATTAGAAAAGGGGAAGGTCTTGGATCTTATCCCGGATTTGAAATATTTCAGGAAATACGTCATTTGCCTTTTAACTTTACTATAAGCAATATAGAAGTATAATGATAAATACAGCTGGTACTCCATCTCATTTCTGGGAATTCAAGAGAGAGTGATGGGCAGAAAATCTCACGGACTCCAAATAAAGATCACAGTGACTCCTTAGCCCTAGCTGCAGTTGCTGTGCAGGTATGTGGTCCCTCTTTATCAGATGACTGAATCTTTTTTAAGATAACCTGAAAAGTCCGATTTTTCTGTCAAGTCTTGATTTTTGAATGCTGGAACTAATTTTAAGACTTTATATGGGACAAACACACTTACATAACCAACAGTCTGTACTTTGCAACCATGAAGGATTTTTTAAATGTATCTTTCATAGCTCATATGCTACATTAAGCTGTTTTAATATTGCAAAGTAATCAATGAGAAATTTTAAAGTAATAGGAGAGCAGAAAAGTAATTTGTTCTTTTACCCTAATTTTTATAGCTTTATGAACAAATTCTAGCTGAAAATGAAAAGCTGAAGGCACAGCTACATGATACAAATATGGAACTAACAGATCTTAAATTACAGTTGGAAAAGGCCACCCAGGTTTGTATCCTTTTCTTTTTGTTACTCTCAAGGTAATGGTTGTGATTTATTCCATCTAAAAATGGTATTAAAATTTTTTCTAATACTCTAAATAGAAGTTTGATAATTGATAATAGAAGATAATGCTGTTTTTAGATTATTTACTTTTTCTGAAGTAAATTTAAAAAATAGTCTTACAGTCAAAAGTCAACATATAAAAGCTTTTTAATACCAATGTTGTGGTATGTCAAGGTTTTAAATGTTTATTTCCAGAATACCAAATGTAGCAAGGCATTAAAACATTAAAAGCATCTATACAGAATCATCTTATAGCCATATAAAAATTTTTATAAAAATTTTTATTTACTACAAATATTTTCTGTTTGTTCAAGTAAAGATTATTTTATATTGTAGTGCTGGAAGAAGGTAATTTTAATCATAGCTCCTTTTGTAAGTTCCTTCTATGCAGCAGCCTAGAGAAGATAAATTTGAACAATAAAATTGGGATAGCCAAGCAAAACTCACAACCTTGTACATATGATCTGGCAATTGTTTCCCAAGCCACTTTTCCATTTCCATGGAACATTAGTTCTGGGAAATAGGAATAGGTACATCTTCTCCTCGTTTCCCTCCTTTCAGAAAACAAAAAAAACTTTGTAATCAAAGAAACTTGGGAAATATTACATATTTTACATGTTAGAGACTTTACAGGGTCTATTTATTTGCTAAAGGCTCTAAGGCATCCTGTAATTTTTAAGAAAACAAACGTGTTCAATTTTAACCTGGGACTTTCTAGCATAAACGTACTTCTGCAGCACAACTCTTAGAATCCCGCTGAAAGCATGGATCTAAAAACAGCATGTCCAGATCTGTGAATGGGACTACATACTCTTTTTGATCAGTCTTTACACTCATCTTTTTCTTAATTTTTAAAAATTAATTATAATAAAACAACACCAAAACAAAAACCAACAAAGTTCATTCTATTTGTTGAACTTAAACTTGTTACCAGATCCTTCTTTTAACCATTGTTGTGTTGTAAAGCAATTGTCTGAGGACAGTAGATACTGTGCTAAACTTCCAGGGGTCAGGCTAACCTCACAAGGTTGTGAAGACTCCTCAGATTCCTTCATGTTAATGGAGGTTTTTGTAAAGATAAACAGAAAAGTAAAACAGAACAAGAATACGTTTCATAGTGAGATGTCATAAAAACTTACAGTGTCATACACATTAAAACTACTGACTTATATTTAGGCTTCATGGTAAGCTGTAATGTTTAGCAGAAAAGTTAACTAAGTAAAAATATCTAAACTGATGTTGGTGTTTTTTAATCAGTGAACTTGTCATCATCCTTCAGGTTGCATTAGTATCTTAGTGAGCCTGTATACATAAAAATATAATGAGCTCTCTGAGCATAGCTTCAGCTCTAGGGATTTCATTACAATGTTAGTTCTAAGTAAAGATGTCCGCTGCAACCGGGCGCGGTGACTCATGCCTGTAATTCCAGCACTTTGGGAGTCCAAGGCAGGTGGATCGCCTGAGGTCAGGAGTTCGAGACCAGTCTGGCCAGCATAGTGAAACCTCATCTCTACTAAAAGTACAAAAAAAGTAGCTGACTGTGGTGGTGGGCGCCTGTAGTCCCAGCTACTTGGGAGCTGAAGCAGGAGAATTGCTTGAGCCCGGGAGGTGGAGGTTGCAGTGAGCCAAGATCGTGCCACTGCACTCCAGCCTGGGTGACAGAGTGAGATTCCATCTCAAATAAATAAATAAATAAATTTATTAAATAAATGCACTGCTTCCTACTATAGTGTTCTGTCATGGTGACTCAGCTCATCCGTGTCTCCACTACTTAATGCCTTCTCTATGTTCTGCTTTGCTGCCTACTTCATTGTCATGTAATTATTCTGTATCTCTCTCAGTCAAACCCTGCAAGAGAGGGGAATTGATAGAATTAGCCACTTACTACCCAGTATGGAGTAGCCTGTTTTGTTAGTGACCATTTCATAGGTCAATGGACAGAAAGTTGCCTGTGGATCGGGTACCAATTTCTGCTACCTGGCAAGAGAAGCAGGATTAAAAAGTATGACAGCTTCTGCCTTGGCAGGTACTCTGAGTATCATGTCCAGTATACTGAGTTAATAATGAGCAGTATAATTCATAAAAGCAAAACTGATAAGCATTAAAGTAAACTTTTGGGGTTCAACTTTCAGGCATTTATCCTGAATCTACTGTGAACTTTTCCACCTTTTTTTTGTTTGTTTGTTTTTTGGCATTGATTGACTTCGTAACTTTTCACAAATATACAAATATTTGCATCAGATATTTGCCACAAATAGCAGTGGCAGTTTTGATAGTTGCATGAAATTAATCTTGAAGTTTAGGTCTATTTGATAGTATTTAGCCAAGAGACTCTGGAATCCTTGACTCTTGCCCTAGCTCAGGTACTCTCCTTCCCGTATCATCTCCAAGGAAGGGAAAAAATATGCCAGCCTACCAGAACCAGTCTGCTGAATACCACTTTGCCAAATGACCAGTTCACCAGATTTACTCATTGTGATTTTAACAGCTTTAACTGGAATGTTTAACAAGAAAGTTAACTAAGTAAAAATACTATCTAAACTGATGTTGATGTTTTCTAATCAATGAAATTGGCAAACCACATATAATTGCTAAAATGTTCCCATATGAAAAAACCTCCAATGAAATGCTATTTTTCCATGTTTTGTTAATTTACGTGTGACGTTATTATTTTGGCTATTTGATTTTTTTCAGGTGCTTTTGAATATTATTTAAAAATTTTTCGGTTTTGTAAAGAGTTTCTATGATTTATTTTTAAATCCTCAAGTGGCGTTATCAGCCTTTGTTTTATATTTCTAGCAATTAAATGTTTAAATTCAGAACCAAAAATAAATGAGAATTAACTGAACAGTCTCATTCATATTTAAATTATTATTTTTTTTTAATGGATACAGCGTCTCGCTTTGTCACTCAAGCTGGAGTGCAGTGGCACAATCAGGGCTCTCTGCAGCCTCAATATCCCTGGCTCAAGCAATCATCCCACCTTATCCTCCCAGGTATTTGGGACTACAGGCAATGCCACCACATCTGTTTAATTTTTCAATTTTTATTTATTTATTTATTTTTTATTTTTTTTGTGGAAACAGGGTTTCACTGTGTTGCCCTGGCTGGTCTTGAACTCCTGGGCTCAAGTGATCCGCCCACCTCAGCTTCACAAAGTGTTAGAATTACAGGTGTGAGCCACTATACCCAGCCTCATATTTGAAATTCTGAACTGAATTTCTTACAAGAAGCAATTGGAATATTGACTTTCATGTTTGCAGAAAGAGTAAGCACAAAAGCTTGAAGCCATTTAAAATAACAGAAAAAGTAAGAAAACCTGGCCATGACTAGTTCTTTAAATGTTACACACCATAACCATTAAAATTGTGAAAGAGGAATCAAAAAGTGACTTGGTTACAAGTCCTAGAGATACTAAAACATGAATACTGAAAGGGTTGGCATAAAAGAAAATTATGTAAAGAAATATTTTTTAAATTACCACATTGAACAGTGAAATTGTGTTTAATCAATATGTTTTTAAAGCATATTTTATGGTTAGCACTCATAAAGCATTCTTGTTAAAGTGGTCAAAAATCATTTTTGGTAAATTAGTAAAATAGGTTATTCAGCAAGCTGGCTTTTGAGGAATTCATTTTCAGCAAATTGACCAGGAATTCCAAGGGAGATGTTTGTATAGATATCAATGTAAATAAGATCTAAGATGCCACTTTTTGTTGTTGTTGTTGTTGTTGTTGTTGTTAAACTGGGCCTGTGGTCAATGTCCAGAGCTCTCTAATCTCTAGTACAGGATACAACATGTGGCTAAAACCCAAGGTGCTTTTCCGTCCCTTAAAGCCAAGCTTAAATATCAGGATTTTACCAACTTTGAGCTGGTCACATAGTACAGGAAGTGGAAAAAATGAAAGGCCTGAGCTCACCAGCAGAAGAAAGCTGTACAGCTAGAATTTCTTGTGAGTGAAAGTGGATATGAACCAATTGTGGAGCATGGATGATTGGAAAAGAAACCTCTAGAATGTGAGCCAAGACCAAGATAGCTGTGGGAGAAGATAAAAAGGCCAGTTTTCTGGTCTGGCTGCATGGATACAGAGTCACTCAACCTGGTAATGAATATATTTCAATCAAGGTCCTGGAATCTGACCATTGTGATTAGCCACTCCTGATGGTGTAGGAAAAGAAAGAATTTCGGCTTCAGAAGGAAAGCTACAGTTTTTTTGTTTTTGTTTTTCTTCCACAGTACTCACTCACTCACCCTCACGCCCAACTAAACTATGAAAGTTCCTGGGGAAAAGTGATAGAGAACATAAAATGAGAGGTCTGGTTACCATTCTATTTCTAAACATTCGTTTCACTCTTTATTATTTTAATACAAATCCTGTTTTCTCTTTGCTTTACTCATGAACCTGTGTTTTACTCCACTTGAATATTGTGATTTAATACCCATTAAAAGAGAATTACTGTGGTCGCCCCTCAATCTTTTTTGCACTTACCTCTTTCATAATTTCTTACTTCGTTGCAGAGACAAGAAAGATTTGCTGATAGGTCACTGTTGGAAATGGAAAAAAGGGTAAGTGTCCCGCTTATTAAATAATTATTTTTTTTCTTGTTTTAGGTAAACAATGGTAGGTTTTTTGTTTTTGCTTTGTTATTATGGATGACAGTTTTAATTAGTTTAAATTAATATTTATTGAGTTAATGTATTTTACAGCAACTTAGCTTCTTTATAGAATTCTATAGGGTCTCTCTAGGTATGAAATGACCTTGTTAAATAAAATTTAATTTACCACATAATTATTTTAATGAATTAAAAAAAACTATCTTGCCTTGATTCTGAAATGTACTATACACATTTTGATAGTGAATTTGATATTCTTGAAATGCTGTTTATCTCTTATGGTATGTACCTAAAATGTTTTAATCATAAATACATTTATTTTAATTATTTATAAACCTAAAATACTTCTATTCTTGAAATAAAGTTTTTAAATCTGGAACATCAAATTTTCAAATTCTTTTTAAGGTAAATTTAATAATTTTTTTAAATTTTGAGTTGAAATATTTAACTTAGGATATTTTAAACAAAAAAATTGATTACAAGAAAATCCTTATGCCACTTGATGTCTTTCTGCAATTTTTTATTGACTGTAATACATTCACTTGTATTTCTCTTCAGTTATTGTTGCTCAAAGGTCTAGGAGTAGTCATAGGAATAACTTTACAAGTTTAGCCTGATCAGTTGAGAATGTATAAATGATCCAAAAGTTAAAGTGCCCAAAGATTGTTTGTAGTGTAGCTGAGCAGTAGCTAGACTTGGTAGGGTTTCGACCACAGAAGAAATGGCAGGCTGGTAGCTATGATCAAAGAGTAAATTCTCAGGAGCTATTGATATAAAAACATTTTTCTTCCATTCTGTTTTAAAAATAACCAATTTGCCTTTTTCACCCAAAAAAAAGAGAAATGGTTAAAAAAAATAAAGAATATAAAAATAGTCTTTTAATGTCTGTGTCATTTGCTAGTTGTACCTTGCAGTAGCTACCATTTTATTATGATTTCTGCAAGTTTTAAAAATTAGTGTTCTGAGCCATGTTTTCAAAATGGACATAACTAATAATTGCTAAAATAGTGTTTTAATAAATTTAATATTGATTATTATTTCCTGTTAGAATATTTAACTGTTACTGAATTTTATCTCCAGGATAAGCAGAAATAATAAAATCAGTTCTTTGTTATACTAACGGTTGAGATGAAAGGCATAGTAACAAACTGTACTTAAAGTAATACTTATTTTTCAAATACAATCACAATTTCAAATATTTAATTTTTCTTATGAAAGTAATATGTTTATTGCAGAAACTTTAGCAAAAGAAGAAAATATTAAATTATCCGTAATCTGTCATGCAGAGATAGCTGATATTTTGATACTTTTTTTTTTTTCTAACATACACATGATGCAGACACATTCATATTCTGACAGGCTCACCTGACCTCCTTTTTCTGCTTGTCAAATGCAGATAAATTACAAAGTAGCTAATCCACTCTCTATAATCATGGTATTAATAGTAAACTGCTAACATTTATTCCGCATTCCCTATATCGAGCAGGCACAAAATTGAACAGTTTACATGCATTTTCTCTCAACCATATTTTTTTTTCCTTGTGGTTTTGTTTGTTTGTTTTTTAAAGAGATAGGATATTGTTCTGTCACCCAGGCTGGAGTACAGTGGTACAATCACGACTCACTGCATCCTCCAATTCCTGGGTTCAAGCAATCCTCCCACATCAGCTTCCAGAATAGCTGGCACTACAGGTGCCTGTCTCCACACCCAGCTATTTTTTTAATTTCTTTTTGGAGACAAGGTCTCACTTTTTTGCCCAGGCTGGTCTTGAACTCGTGACTTTATGCTATCCTTCCACCTAGGCCTCCCAAAGTGCTGGGATTACAGGCTTGAGCCATTGTGCCTGGCCAATTATATTTTTTAATATTAATACATTTGTCAAATATAAGAAATTTCGTACCATTTACAGTTGTCAATTTCATTGAGCTAATAGAATCAGGCAGTCGGGTGTAGTTTTCTTGTCTTACTTTACCACTAAGTTAAAATCTTGAAGACACCTAATAAAATTGAGGCTCATAGGGAGATTAATCCTCTCAGAAGAAATATTCTATTTCTGATATTTTTCAAAGTGGTAAAGATCAAATATGACACTTTATGTGCTAGTATTTTGAGAAGTGTGATGATTTCTATGAATTTGTCATGACTGTATTATTTACTAGAAGAAAGATCTATGTATTGAAAATAATGTTTTTGTCTATATAATGTTTAGGCATGCTGGTGTTAGAATAGCATGGTACTTAAAAGATCATGAGTAGGATTCTATCTACTTTTAAAATCCCATACCCTAAAAACATTAACATTTACAGTAAATGTACTGCTTGACTAAATATCAGCATTTGTTATTAATCTGGGAAAGAATGTCTTGGAAATAGTTTCAGTGTGATTAAACTAAATTTAAATGGTTTGTATCTGAAAGGTGACCGGCAAGAGTCAGTATCTTCTGGGCGGTATGACCTAACCAGTTTTACAGCTCATCAATTACTGCTGCTTGCTTTTTGCATAACACCCCAGAATGCTTATCATTTAAGGGAGAATAAAACAGTACACTGCAGTAATGTGTTGTGTGTTGGCTTTGCCTGTCACTCTTTGAAAGAAGTTTAAAATAAATGCTGCAGTTGCTTCTCTATTAGATTCACCGCATTAATGCTACACATAATGTCAACCTAAATATAAAGCTATAAAGTCAGTTGGATAAATAATAGCTAGTACACATTGTGGGTGGTGGAAACGAGCTTTTCTTACATTCCTCTGAAATTGCAAAATACACATATTTTAGGCATGTTTGCTTCTTGCTTTTCTGCTTCTATCACTGTAATATGATTGCATCTTTGTGTGAGTTTTGTTTTTCTTTTATGTACAGTCTTCAGTCTTGAGTATTGATTCACTCTAAGTTTTACATGAACTAAAAAAGTAGTTTGAACATGTTATATAGCATCCTCCCAGAAAGTCAAAGCTTTGAATTAAGAGCTTGCACTAAGGAAAAAGATCTTCATATTTATTTTTCTCAAATTTTGGAAAGCTCTTTACATATCACTGGCATCACATCTTTTCTACACTGCTCCTGATTGGACCTTTAATTCTGAAGTATCACTATTTCACAGTATAGAAGAAGACTTAAGAATATAATAATTATATAACTAACATTGGTACCTTAAATTGATCTAGGAACGAAGAGCTCTAGAAAGAAGAATATCTGAAATGGAAGAAGAGCTCAAAGTAAGTAAACTATGTTATTTATGAGAGATAGTGCTGTTTATGTATTAATGTTTAAAATACTATTAAAGATAGGGTTTACATTAATTGTTCTCAAAGCTGATTACCCAATTTGTGAACTGTCTATATCTGGTGCTTCTCTTTCTTCCTGAATCCAGGCTCTAGTGAGCAAGAAGAGAGTCTAAAACCCAAATCTTAACACCTGTGAAAAAAGAAGAAAAATAAAATAAAAAATAAAACCCAAATTATTTTGATAATCAATTTGTGTCACACTTTTGCTGTTCACGTATAGAAAAACTTAATAATAATAATAATAGGATATAGGGTGTATTATTTATTCATGTTTCTGTATACTTTTATGTTTCTTGGTGAGTAAGTAGTGGAGGGGGATACTATAAAATGTTCTCCTTTGAAAGTAAAGGACATTAGGGGAGTGAACAGTCAGAGCTGTATTTTGTCAAACTCCATATTTCTGTAGAAATAATTATGTTTTGAATGTCTTCACAAGAAAAGTAGCATAGTTAATTGATTACCTCTTACCATATTGTCTTTCATAAAATATCTTTATCACATTGTGAATTAATGAACCAATGCATAGTATATTATACCCACAGAAGTAGTAGTTCAGGATTTAGATGTTTCAGTATTAAATTGTTTGGTTTATTATTAGACCATTATTATTCAATGGCTTTGAAGATTGGAGACAAATCTTTTGTATTTTGTTTGCTTATGTATTATTTAGTTTGAAATAGAATTTTAGGAATACATTGTTTACCTTTCTGAATCTCTTATTCTTTTAAGACGTATTATTTTTAAAAAATTATTACCTGTGATTATATTCTTACTATACGCTTTTCCATTTTCTTATTTTTTATTCCTATTTCTTTATGTTCTGATTCCTGCAGAACCTGCACCAAATAAAGCAAATTCAATCTCTGAGAGAGTTAAATGAGCGACTGCTGACTGAGAATAGGGCCTTGACAAGAGTGGTAGCCAAGCGCTCAGGGTTCTATAGGCAACTGCAGTCTGTGAACCTATAATTTTTAGTTTCATCATTTCTTCTTGGTAGAGCCAGGCAGGTGTTTTTATATTAGTAGGCGTGTTTTGTAAGAGCTCACTTTTACAAATTAATGCCATTGTGTCTGGAGCATATCATATAACTAATTATGCATGGCTGCTTAGAATGTTACAAATTGTCACTAATTATATATTGCAGTTGATGAACTACACTAAAATTAGGGATGATTTTGGAATTTAAGTTGAAGACTTATTTGTACTTTTGTAAAGCTTTTGCACATTTTTTAGCTGTACAGATATTTTAGGACTTAAAATATGTTATTTACAGTTCTTTACTAGAGAGAAAACATAAACAGTATATAACATTTTACATATAATATATTTTGAAGCTGAAGATTAAGCATGCATTATCTGTTTTTCAAAATAATGTCATTTGATGTCAGAGCCACATTAGTTTATAGTCATTCAGTTTTCTATTATAAATATTCAAATGAATAAACTCAAGATTACTATATTTTATATCTAAAGATTCTGAACACAGATAAGACTGCGTTAGTTCCACATAAAATTAAATCTTCCTAAAGATTTTGCTTAAGGTAGTTTTGCAAATAGAAGTTCTACTTTTATCTAGTTAGATAATCTAATACATTTTGAAAACTAAGGAAAGAGAACTATTTTGGAAAGTATGGTTTAAGGACCAAAAATATGAGCTATTTCATTTCTTAGTGAAACTGGCAAAGAACATACAATTTTAATTGTCCGTAGTAGACTATTCAGTTAACTTGTAATATTTTCATTCCCTTCATCAGTTTGTCTGTAAAACAGCAGAAAATTGAGATGCATTGTTTGAAGATATGAGGCTATTTGCTTCAAAATTGGTTATTGTTGTAATGGTTGGATCATAGATACAGACTTACTACTTTAGCTTACACATGATATACTATTCTAATAATAGTAATTACTTGTTACCATTTAATAAGCATCTGTTCGGGATTGGACATTATATTAGGCATCTTAAACTGAGGTACAATAGGTGAATCCTTTAAGGAATTTTAATAATTTAGAACAAGTCTAACTTCTTCAATATTTTCCTAGGTAGTTTGGCTTTCTTGTGGAACAATGTTAAGTATTATGATTTTAGGTCTGACATACATAAAGCAAAAGTCTTTGGTTTGGGTGCTGACAGGAACCTCTTTTAAGAGCCTATCCTAACAAAAACGGGCTTCATTGTCTTGGCTGCTCGAATGTGGTGTGCTTGTGAGTCATAAAATCAAGTGATTTAGTAAATTGCAATGGAAAATTTGGAGAGAATAAACCTTTCATTCCAGCATTTATGAAACTAATTAGCTTTACAAATCCAGGTGTGTTTTTTTTTTTCCTTCTTCCTGATACATGTTTTAGATACTAGAAATATATATAACTGACAAAGCTTGATCATGTGTTTTGTGGTGAAAATATAACATTTATTAAAAATAATGTTTTATCTATTTATTGAAGGTAAATCTTCAATTTTTCTCTTTACAGATGTTACCAGACCTAAAAGCAGACAACCAGAGGCTAAAGGATGAAAATGGGGCCTTGATCAGAGTTATAAGCAAACTTTCCAAATAAAAAAAGAAAAAAAAAAGCAGCAAGTAATGGAATTGCACATATTAGTAACCCAGTGGACCATAATTGGCAGTCACTGGAAGCCTGGGAAGAATCCTTGGAGACTGTCATTTTCGGATATCCTGCCAAATGCCCTCTTATCTAGAATTTTTATTTCATTTTGTTTAATTTTCTGGGGTGTTTTTGTTGTTGTTGGTTGTTTTTTTGTTTTTTGTTTTTTTTTTTTTTAATCAAGACCATTGTTTCATGTTAATGCAGCTGCTGAGAAGAATTTTTTTTAATGACTGAGAAAACTTGTTTACAGCTCCAGCATATAAGGAAAGTGTTCAAGGCCAGATATGCCTCAGATATTTAACCAGTAAGCCTTAGTTGTACATAAATACTTTTGTGTCAACAAAAACCTTCAGCTCTCACAGAAGACAGTTACTCAACATTTTTTGATGTGCCACAGTTTCCAGTTTTTCGATATTTAAATTTTTTTGGCTTTTCATCTAAGTTTGGGTTTGTATTTTTTCCTTCTAAACTCTTCATGTGGCAGAGTCTTCTATGTTTTCACAGCTTTTTCATTTACAGATAAGAACACTTGCTCTTCTGTGATTATTGTCATGTATTAGGCTAATGCTGTGTTGTCTCCCACCTGGAACTGAATTGCTTGGTGGAACATATGCTTTCACTGTTTGTGCAATATGCATTTATTTCTTACATGAATGCTTTAAAGTCATTTGAGATTAGATCTTTTAATTCCTATTTTCTGCTTCATTGGTCACTTTTTTGTTTTTATTGTAGTATAAGATGTTAGATTCTGTAATCTTCACATTCATTTTAGCAGGTACTGAGTGATGCTGTATATACAAATAAGTGTATTGTTTTGATTTTTAGACCACCACATGGCATGCTTGACTATTTCTTATTTCAAATGTCTGCTAATGCAGAGTAGGCTACTCCATGATAGTGTTAAAAAACAAAATTTGCTAACAATGTGATATAAAGACTTTAAAAGTTACACATTATGTGGAGCCCTATCTTTACAAAAGTTTCCTACTATAAAATGCTTTTATTTTCAGTTTTCATTTGATAGTACTCAACCATAATTAAACTTGCATAAGATAATTGCTTTACATTTCACATACCTATATTTATCTGAGTGCTGTCTAAAACTGTTGTGCTAGCCAAAGTAATGCTATGAAATCATTTGCAGAATTAACCCGTGAGTTAATGTTAAATGCACTGTTATTGCCATGTGAAGAGGCATCGACTTTGATACCACCATCATGTTCAGACCATTTTATACATTTCAGTGGCCTTTTTTTTAAGGAAAAAAAAAGCGCAAAACCAAGTACATAGTGAAGATGGCTTTTATTTGGACAAATAGCTTTTATATTTTCATTAAACCATGCAAAAAATACTACATCTTTCTGGCACATAACTGTCTCCTTAACCACTGAACAGTTCAGCCATTTGAATAAATTGTACATTGTAAAGCTTATAGTAGCTGATTGTATTATTGATTGTATTGTATACTATATTAAATGTGAATTTGTACCCCTTCATTTTAAAAGGTCATTGTGTTCTACTGCCTATTTTAGATTACTTTGGGGTTGGGGAAGGGTGTTTTGGTAAGCAGGATTTTAAGTCCTCTCTCTCTTGATTGGTTTTATGAAGATATAAGGTTATGCTCTTACTACCAAGCTCAGGATTCTTGATTTTAAAGGTACAAGGATAGTTGTGGGAGTTTTATTTTTGGTTATATTTGAACTGTATGAATGGTGGGTCTGAATATTGAGAATTTCCATGGTCTTATGTGGAGGTAAAATATACAGATAACTGATCAGTTTGAGTGACCGCAACATGTTCTGGTTGCACAACAGTTAGGCATGCTATGGTTTATATTTGTGAAGTTTGGATGCCTGTGAAGAATGATTAAATACATGTTTCTAATATTTTAGTGTTTTGTATTTAGGTTATTTATTCTTTGTATCTAAAACTGAACAGCTACTGTGCTATATTGATTTTATTGGTAGTATTGAGCAGACCTTGTTTCTGCATGAAACTAGTTGCAAAACCCACTATTTTGGAAATAAAAATGTATTTTGACATATACAAATAAAATGAATAAAACTATTTTAAATGTGTGAACTTTTAATGAAGACATTTTAAATTTTGTTCTGAGATATTTAAATTCTGCATGGGTATTTTTTCACTGGTTGCTTTACTTGGATACCAATTTGAATAATTTCTGAAATTGTAATATTGTGATAATTTGCACAGCGTTGTACATGCACATCTGTAAATGCAATCTTAATTGCCATATTTATGCAATCTGTGTACCAATTTGGACAAATGTTTATATATTTTACATAAAGCTGTCTGTATGCAGAATCTGAGAACTAGTTTTTTTATGATAATAAGTGGGTAAAAATAATAACAGTGAGTTTCAGGGTAGTTGCTTTGTAGCAGATTTCGCTTCCATAAACATTCTGTTTTTTTTAAAAATAAACCTGTGCTTTTTCTTATCTGCAAACATAGGCTTAGTGATACATACAAAGGTAATATTCCATTGAAACATACAATTTACTTTAATATTAGATCATTTTCCAGTTTAGATTTGTCCAAGGTTCAACCTGCTAACCCTTCTATAACTAAGAGGCACTTTTAGCCAGGTGTGGATGGGAGGCCCAGGTGGGAGGATTACCTGAGGACAGGAGTTTGAGACCACCCTGGCCAACAGGACGAAACCCCATTTCTACTAAAAATAAAAAATTAGCCAGGTATGATGGCACGTGCCTGTAATCCCAACTGCTCAGGAGGCTGAGAGGAGAATTGCTTGAACCAGGCAATTCACTGAGGTTGCAGTGAGCCGAGATCACGCCACTGCACTTTAGCCTGGGCAACTGAGTGAGACTTCGTCTCCAAGAAAAGAAAAAAAAAAGAGGCACTTCTGATTTTGGAACTTGGATAGAGGACTGGTAGTAAGCCTAAATTAATATTGACTAAATTAATACAACAAGGATTGAATTCTATTGTTTCTATTTCCAGTACTTTACCTATTCATGCTTAGAATGGTAGGTTTTACTGTTATGTGTCCTACAAGAGTATTCGTATAAAAGAGTAAGGTAGATATTTTCTAATCCATTAGGCTAACTTTATTCTTTTGCTTAAAAGTATATTACTAGTTAGTCTTCCTTGGTTAAACTGAGACAGTCATGACTTCCAATCCCAACGTATTTCCCATAGGACATAATAAATAGCTTTGTAGATTATCTTTCACTTTGACATTATAAGCAGAATACACAGCAAACTCCACTAAAAATTATTAACTATTCATTAGCTCTGTCTTGCTAATGATAACCTTTGTTTGCAAAGATGAAAGCTGGCTGATGCAGTCTTTGATGTTCCATGTTTACACTGTATGTGCATGGTATCTGTATCTGAATATGATGTGCAGCAGGACTAATGTACATATGAGAACTCTCCAAAAAGTATTGGGTTTAGAGTGAAATATTATTTTCATATTTTATTCATCTCTCTATAACTAAATCCATTTCCTGACTTTGATTTTGGAAAGGTTCTCTGGCATTAATGGCCATACAGATGAGTGCCCTTTCTCTTAGGTAAGTGATGTGGAGAGTATTATATTACTCTTCCTTGCCTATAAAATAACCAGATTACAGAAGTACTAAATTTAAAATAAAAATACAGGAGTCAGAGGTGTGAGATTTATTTCTATAATAAGGTAACATAAATAATGGATTCTACCTTATTACTGTAACTTCAAAGTTTTATTATTAAAAGTTGTCTAAAGGTTATTAGAAGTAAGATCTTTTGAGCCAAGCTATCCCAACACACCCCTCCTTAAATTCCAGTAAGTGTCTGGGTCTCATAAACCAACTGCATTTTTATTTTTAAAAAGCTGAAGGAAAAGGGGAAAAGTTTGAAGAAATGAAGGGTATTAGTAGATTCTGTCCTTAACAATATATAACTAATAGAACACGTACTTGGTGGTTGTAGGTCTGAAAGAGTGATAGTGGAAAAGAAGAGATTTGCTTTCTCCCCTCTTTCTCACTCTCAGTTTTTCTTACAGGCCTGTTTCAATAGCGTATCTCATTTGATCCTTAAAGTGCTCCATTTACAGGTGAGAAAGCTGAGGTTTACGGATTCTTTATTGGTTCAGCATCCAAAGCCTGGTACAACACAAAACTCTTAACCAAAACTGTGGTGGTGATTTTTCCCAACTCTGAATCCAGGACTTTTTTTCATATACCAGTTAGTTGCATAGTTTATTTGCATGTAACTGCATAAGTTTCTTGAGTCTATACACTTAGGCTTAAAAAATTTGAGTATCTTTGAAGATGGCATTTCTTGGCTGTTTTTTGTTTTTGTTTTGTTTTTGTTTTTTGTTTTTTTTTTTTTTGAGACGGAGTCTGGCTCTGTCCCCAGGCTGGAGTGCAGTGGCGCGATCTCAGCTCACTGCAAGCTCTGCCTTCTGGGTTCACACCATTCTCCTGCCTCAGCCTCCCGAGTAGCTGGGACTACAGGCACCCGCCACCACGCCCGGCTAATTTTTTGTGCTTTTAGTAAAGACGGTTTTCACCGTGTTAGCCAGAATAGTTTCAATCTCCTGACCTTGTGATCCACCTGCCTCGGCCTCCCAAAGTGCTGGGATTATAGGCGTCAGCCACCTCGCCTGGCTTCTTGATTTTTTTTTTTCCTCCTCATTCTCTAATCTCACATCCTCACCCCCACACCTGCTAAATTTTTCCTTTCGTAGGGCTTCTTTCTTAATACCACTTTGCCCTATAATTTGTTTTTGTTTTTGTTTTAGATAGAGGAATGCAGTCATGCTCAAGCAGTTAGTTGATTCTCTGGTGCAAATTCTAATGATAGCCAGTAGTCCATTATAAGTTTATAAAAGATTTAACATACCTGCATGAAAAATTTCCTTTGCATTCTTCAAAAATAGATTTTTAAAAAATTAATGCTCACAGTTTAATTCCCTTTTTTATTCCCTAGTAAGATAAGCAACATTATTAGTGCTACAGTTTTAACAGACTTTTCTCCCAATGAAAAATGTGTGGAATACCAAATATGTAAAACATAACAATTGTATGTATATAAACTCGTAGATAAGAACTTCCCCACCCCCAGAAAAAGTAGCCAAAATGGGCCTCTATAAGACAGTTTTATGACAGCAGCTTGACTCCTTAACTTGTTACTGCACAATTCTTAGATTGTGACCACAGCATTGCTGAGCAAATGCAGCTGACCTAAACTTTTATGATATAATATATACTGTACACATGCTCTAGTAGTATACCAGTTTATGTGAGTGAGTGTGCTATTACTTTCCTCAACAGTGAAAAATATAGGCACAGAGTAGGAGAAGCACCACACAAAGATAACCTTGCAGTACAAGTTAGTGCTTTAGTACTCGGTATTGTCCAAATTTTGCCTATATCTAAACATTATTTTTACAATTTCTAAAAATTAAAGCATTTTAGCAAAATTTGAATTTAAATTTGGTGAAATCCATCAAATACCTTTGCAGACCCTACGGGGACACTGATCTGTAAACCTTTGACATGGGCCTTTGAATTCAATCACATCTAGATAATAAATCTCAGCTTCATTTGATAAAAGTCAATTACATATATCCAAAGCATCTTGTTTTAAAACATAATGCTACTGTTTCTTTTTAAAATACCTTAAAGCAAAATTTTGAAATAATTTATTTGGTTACTATAAACACCTAATTTTTTACTCAGTCCAGTAAGGGAGAAAGGTTTGAGAAGTGGATTTCAGAAGACTTCCTTGTATCATTGGAAAGAACAAAGTAAACCTCTAACTATGCCGCCACATCTGTCCTAAAGGACTCCAGGAACACTGACCTGCTACTCATGTGAGTCTGCTTTGTTTATGAACCCTAGTTGCTCTTACCAAAGAAGGAAAGATAGGGAAAAGTGGCAGGGTGTTTATAGGTGTCATACACAAAATGTATTTGCCATAGAAAGGTGGTGTGGGCTAGAAAATGTTTTAATCAATACTTGATAATAGCTAATAATTGTTAAGAGCATAATTATAATTTTATTTGTTGGAATGTCAGGATTATCACTAATTGTGGATGCTTAAAGTTTACATAATGCTTCTCAAAATATCCTGAGGTCATGTAGGCCATTTGTCAGCCTTCAGGTCAGAGACTAACCTTGTTACATAATGCTCTTCTGCATAAGAATGTTATAATCTGTGATTTCTTCTTTTGTCTGAAGCTTTAGCCCTGCCTATTTCATTCTTTCTTTCGGCTTTACTGTCCCTCTAGTGTCTAGTATTTGCTTTACTGAGACTAGTAGCAGAAAAACCAGAGGGGAAAGGACCTAAATTTTAGTATTTTCTGTGAACAAACACCTACGCTTACCTTGTATTTGTAGTTTTTTTAAAAAGTCGTTTCCTTTATTTTACTATGAGCTCCTGGAAACATCAGAATATCATTCATCTTTGTTCTCAGCACTTAGCACAGTGCCTGGCCTGTAGTAGGTGTTTATTAAATGTTTTGAAGGAAAGCGTAAATCTGAATAGTTGTGCTACGTGTTGTGGAAGAAAAAATCTAGACTAGCATCTAGATTTTTAAGAAAGCTTTTTAAAGCTATTAAATATAAACATTCAGATTCTTGCATACTTTGTCTCCTCATTCACAAGCTCCTGTTAGCACTTAAATGCCAAGCACTGCTATAGGTGATGGTCATACATCCAAAAGAAAAACAGGCAAAAATAAAATCTCTGCCTTGTGGAGACTACATTCAAATAGCGGAAAGATTGAAAATAATCCATTACATGTTACTTTACAAGATAGTAGACAACTAGGGAAAAACTAGGGCTGGGCGCGGTGGCTCGCGCCTGTAATCCCAACACTTTGGGAGGCCGAGGCAAGCAGATCACAAGATCAAGAGATCGAGACTAGCCTGGCCAACATGGTGAAGCCCCGTCTCTACTAAAAATACACAGATTAGCTGGGCGTGATGGTACGTGCCTGTAGTCCCAGCTACTCGAGAGGCTGAGGCAGGAGAATCGCTTGAGCCTGGGAGGCAGAGGTTGCAGTGAGCCTAGATAGCGCCAAAACTAGGCCAGGATAAGAATTCAGGAGCGAAGGGAGAATTAATTAGAGAAAGCCTCACTGAGAATGTAATATCTGAGCCAAAATTGCAAGAAAGGTTGGGCAAAAATTATGCCGATGTCTGGGAGACCAGCATTTCCATGCAGAGGAACAAAAGCAAAGGCCTTGAGGTGCAGATGTTCTCATATGTTGGAGAAACGGTAAGGTTAATTTGGTTATATTGGAGTGAGCAAGAAGTAGAGTAATAGGAAAGAAGGTCAGAGAGGCAACAGGA